CCTTTAAACAGCTCCCAGCTACGTGCCAAGTGTCTTAGCTCGGCCCGTCCCCTTCTGTTAGTCACGGCCTGGACAGTCCTCATGGCACGTATCTGTTTACGTATTGGATATTACGTCATTGACTCCTAGGATAGGTCTCCTATTACGTCTTAGCGGACTACTGTAGTCCCGTTAAAGAGTAGGAACTTTTTATTCCTCTGAAAAATTAAGTAAAATGCAAAGAATAAGATTTGACATGTTGCCAACCCGCAAAGCCCTAAAATATAATTATGTAAGTAGGTCGAATGACAACAAGGGGCTTCACTAGCTCAGTTGGCAGAGCGTCAGTCTCATAAGAAACCTTGTGAAATCTGAAGGTCGACAGTTCGAACCTGCCGTGGAGCATCTTTGTTTTTTTTCATTTTATCGAGAAATCTCTGGTATTTAATACCTCTAATCTTCTAAGTGAGGAACTTGGGTTTGGCTTGGAGAAATTCAGACATTGAACACACCAAATCTATAACAACGGAGACGCCACAGACGCTTTCATTATCCGTCTCTACAACAATTGTGAAACATTCAAACACTGGTGGCAAGAGCTAAAAATTTTTAAGCCCATGAGTTTGAAGGCAATGTTGGCGGTCGACAACTCTTTGGAGATTTTAACAAAATTAGAATGATTTGTATCCAGGAATTGTTTCAAGGTTTTATATATATATATATTTGGCAGATTCATCTGATTAAAGGAGCAAAACTATATTAATAGTATATATAAACACCCTTTAAACAGCTTATATATATAACTTGCATAGTTCTTTAATCAAAAGAATCTACCATACATACATAGAAAACAAGTTTTGTTCTTCTCATCAAATACATCTAGTAGAAATAGCCAAAAAAAAAAAAAAAAATTCGAAGGTTCAAAGGTTCAAATCGCAGTTGTATGTAAGAATACATTTTAGCTAACTTTTGTCTTTCGTGTCATTCTTCAGTTCCTTCATTTTGATTCACAATTTTTGACTCGCGATGAGTATTTCAATTATTAGAAATCCTGAATACTATTCTATTCTTTTACCATGGATCTGAGTGAAACAATGCTTTAGAAAAAGGCGAGTAATTCTTTCCTGACGCCTTAGAGCATACTTTTTCCATATAGCCTCATAAAACAATGTCGCAACATTTTCCGCGACATTTTCATTTTTTTTCGCATTCGTGTGGGTGAAATCATGCAGTTGAGAGGATAAGAAGAGCGGCTTTTATTTATCTTCAGACGGCTAAGGGCATATTTCGCAATTATGTCCTATTATGCACAAATGTCGTATCAACATAATGGTCACCAGTCTCCCGCAACCATCTCGTCTTGCAAATTTTTGCCTGAGTCTGAACTTTAAAAAGTGGCCGCGGAGACCTGTATTTTCGATTCCTTCACCATTTTCCACAGAAGTCGACGAATTCCAATCCGTCAGAAAATACTTGCTACATCATGGCGCAACTCTCTTCTGAAGGGAGCAACGCAATTATCTATCTCACATACAGCGCCTTGTTGTTCTCTGGGCTTTTCTTGGCCTGGAAGTTTGCCAGCAAAGACAATTTTTTATCTTCCAATGGAACTCAAAAGGGTCTTCCATTAGCAGTCAACTTCATTGCCTCTGGTATGTTATACTAAAATTCGATAAACTGCAACTTGCTAGCGGGTGTTGTTTCTTTTCTGTTTAGAACTGAAACGGCTGAGACTAAACCGTTCGGACTCGATCAAGTTTATGCTTGCGTGAGGAGGCGATGTTGCTTTACATTCTTGTAATCAAAAAAAGACAGGTTATATGTTCCTCTTTGAAGACACTCAAGATGCGTGGTGTTGGTCCATCTTTGTCAAAAACTTCGAGAGAACTGATCATTTTACCGTCCTTCAGCCCTAAAAGTCCTGAAAAAGGAGAATGGGGAGTGTAGGACACAAAAAATGAATCATCTACGTTTGCTCTTCTCATCTGGCTATTCATGTGGCTGATCGATAGGTAAGTTTGTAAGTCTCGAGCTATCTGCCCAGAGTTTGTCATCAGCCGGCCGAGTCATGTACTAACACACAAAACAATGGGAGTGGGTATCTTGACCACATATGCGCAGATTGCAAATACTGCAGGGTTACATGGATTACTTGTCTACACACTATCGGGGTCTCTTCCTATTCTCGGATTTGCTGCCCTCGGGCCCATTATAAGGAAAAGATGCCCTGAAGGCTTTGTTTTGACAGAGTGGGTCCGTCAAAGATTTGGAATTGTTACAGCTTTGTATCTTTCATTCTTCACGTCACTCACGATGTTCCTTTTCATGATTGGCGAGTTATCAGGATTGAGAGCAGCTATTGAAACATTGACTGGCTTGGATGCATTGGGTGCTGTGATAGTTGAATGTGTGGTGACCACCATTTACACATCCTTTGGAGGTTTCAGAGTAAGTTTTATTACAGACAATCTCCAAGGTAGCCTTGTTCTTGTTTTGATCATTATTTGTGCGATTGGCATGGGCACAGATATCAATATTGACACCTCAAAGATTGGGCCATCGGGCTTATTAGATGCGAATAAATTGGGATGGCAACTAGTGTATATTTTGCCCGTGGCAATAGCTACAAATGATTGTTTTATGGCTGGGTTCTGGTTGAGAACATTTGCAAGCAAATCCAACAAAGACTTGTGGATTGGATGTTCCATTGCAGCTTTTGCAACATTCGTGATTTGCACATTAGTTGGTCTTCCTGGATTTTTGGCCGTTTGGGCTGGATATCTAGAAGTAAACGATCCGGATGGGTACAAAGCATTCTTTATTTTGCTAGAAACCATGCCAAGATGGGTTGTGGCATTCGTGTTAATATTCGCCATTTGCATCTCCACATGTACCTTTGACTCTTTGCAAAGTGCGATGGTTTCCACAATTTCGAATGATTTGTTTCGCAATAAGATCAAAATGATTTACATTCGAGGGTTAGTTGTGGTTGTCATGATTCCTACAATCATCTTGGCAGTAAAAGTTGCTGACAACGTTCTCCAGATTTATTTGATCGCTGACTTGGTCTCTGCAGCTGTGATACCCTCTGTTTTACTCGGATTAAATGACACATGGTTTTGGTTCATCCAGGGTGTTGATGTTATGATTGGTGGATTCGGTGCTCTTTTGGCCGTGTTTATCTTTGGAACGATTTATTATGGGTCTGCTGAAGAAGGAGGGAAACTTCTTCTTGTATGGAATGGTCTTTACAACTCTGATGACTGGGGCGCATTTGGTGCATTTGTTATAACTCCTGTTGGGGGCCTTCTTTTCACTTTGATGTGCTCTGGACTCAGAATTGGTATTTTGTACTTCTACTCCAAATTGAGTGGTGCCTCATTTACAGCTTTGGACAAAAGGGAGTACGTCATCACTGAAGATGCTAACCTCGCGGAAAACTATGGAGCAGTATCGGACTCAAGTGCGAAAAAAGACTCTACTGAGTTATCCTGAGAAGAATTATAAGTGTAAATTTATTTATTCGAAACTAGAAATCGTGAACGAGAGAATGATAAAAAGCTTAAGGAAACGCTAGCTCAAGCGATGTCAAAAGAAGATTTCCCAAAATCAGGAGTGCCACCCAAGGTATTGAATAAATCTCCAGTGTAGTTTTCTGGGCCGTACTTCTTTCCCGCGTAGTACACATTGTCCCAATTCTCCAAGACATCTCTAACGAAAGGCAACCCAGCAATTGGCAAGTTTGCGAAAGCGACCGAAGAGCCACCGTCTTCTGGGTTGTTGAACCAAGAAACAGTGTCATTGGATTTGGATGGAGGTGGTCTTGTGAAATCAGAGATAGACCTCATGATAACAACTCTATTGTAGTCAGCGAGACCATACCTGTGTAATCTGGTGAATGCTTCTAAAGATGCATTATCTTCTTGTGCAGTAGAACAGTAAGTGGCAGACCCGTTTGTCATCATTGAGGCATAGAACGAAAAGTAGTCTCCTAACGTGTTACCAGTGAAGTAGTTGTCGGACGTCAATGCGTCACACTTCACAACAGACGGTAATCCACGAGCGGCGGGCTCATCATACAACAATCTGTTAGCCGCATTCGCATCAGTGCCATTTTCCAAGGTTGCGGTTTCAGCCAACTCCACCGCCCTATCTCTTAAGTTCTCATTGACTTCGAAGACCTCAGTACCGTAGACGTTTCCTGGGTAAGTCCAAGGGTCTTCTGTCCCGTAAGCCCAATAGCCAGAAGTCCAATTTGCGCGTGAGCTACTAAAGTCTTGATAGGCTGTCTCATATTCCAAGGCAACTTGAACTGCATATTTTGCGAAAGTGACTGAGCCCATCGTAGTGAATTGAGGCTCACCACCACCGATACCCGAAATTAAGAAGTAAGTATGAGAGAGGTCAAACAAAGGAGACAATCCCAAGGCAGTAACAGAAGCAGCAGCGTTGATCTCTCCTTCTCCAGTTGTCATCTCACAGACAGAGTAATTGCTAGTGCAGTATATGGATGGATACAATGGAGATAATCCTGGGATTGTAATGTTGTGCTCAAAATCTAAAGACTCTAACCATGGCTGAGCTTCGTACTCAAACATGTTGATGACAAACATCTTTGGCTGGAAGATAGCAAATGGTTTGCCATATGAAGCTTGCAAGTCATTGTTGCTTGTGGCGTCTTCTGTAGAGTTAACAATGGATCTCTTTTCTAAAGGATGTGCGATGGCAAAGGCCAAAGTTGCAGCCAAACAAGTAGCAGTAGTTAGTCTCATTTCTGGCTAGTTGATGTATGGCCATGTTGACGGATACCTAGCCTTTTTGTACCCTGCATTTCAATGGGAATTGGGCGAGTCAACATCTTACTGACTGATCTTCTTATCTGGAATTGTCAATGTATTACGTGCGTCTGCATGATTGCATATGTCAAAAAGTTGCAAGAACCGCCCAGAGATAATAGATGAAAATACCAAATCAGTGTTTTTTTCTTTCTGTTCATATTTCATTTTAGATACTCTGGCTCAAATTAAGGGGGCATCACTATCCCTTCCCCTTAGACTGATCGTGTTCATTTCAGAATAGTGGGAAGTCATCGATAAAGGCAGATACGGTCCTGCGTTGCCGCGGCGTTGCCGCGGCGCTGCGGGAGCCACACTCCCGCACGAAACCATACGGCTCGGAAATTTGACGAAAGTGGAAAAGACGATAACAAATCCGGTCGATAACGTAGCAACCGTTCAGGATACGTTGACATTGACGGGCCGCCTTGATCCCAAAAAAGGGGTTCACAGTTTTGACATATTCCCCACGGTGTTGACCAGGTAATTCCGATTCGTTTTCATGTAGGGAATCACAATCTGAGTTCATCATCAATAACATATACACATCGGTGGATAATTTAACTACATGTGCATCGATAAAATTTTAGTTGTATTCTCATCGCGGATGTAAATTCCATGAATCTTGCAGTGCGGTTTTAAACTTTCGCCAATGCGCTGCGCGAATGACTTTTCGCTGCGTTGATGGGGAATGTATAACCGATCAGTGCATCTGGTGAATATCGAAAATGAGAATCCCGCTAATGAAAACGGAGAAAATCGGGACTGAGGCTCTTTACCTGAATAAACTCATCACACATATGCTATGGTGCATATAAATTTCTGGTCTGCAATACTAGTGTGGATCATTCCTTCGGGAACTTGCGGATCCAATCGATTCCGGGAGAATCGTGGTCCGGTATTAAATATCGATCGGAACTTGAATCAGCACGTCATGTTAGATGCGCATGGCTGCTGATTGTCAAAACAGTGTCATCGTGCCAATTTTCTTCTTCTTCTTGACCCGGTGAGGTTACTGCGATTGACTGAAGTTAGGTTTGCTTTTCAATTTTGAAGCATGTATATCACTAAAACAACTTGTTTTATGTCAAACAGTTATGTTCAGCAAGTTTTGTGAGAGATCGCGCAATTATGACAAGGCAAAAAAATTGGGTTATCTGGAGTCTTTTTAATTACAACGTACTTATTTCCCATCAAATGGAAACAGTTGGCAACATCCATGCTGGACTCCTTCGTAAATTGCATCTGGTTTGGATATTGCGCGGTCTCTTCTGCGAGATTCTTGATGGGATAAAAACGAGTCTATCGAATCATACATTGCCTGAAAACTCAACAACACAGAATACAAAATTATGAACGAAGGGAAAAGGAAGGACGGGCCGTAAGATAAGAAACATACAAACTCATTATCATTATCAAACGGATTTGCCAATGCATTAAAACTTTCACGTCTTGAATTCGAAAGACAACATGATGCTTCATTACAAAGATTCAGAGCTTTATGCTCGACACGAGTGAAAGAACTTAGTCTATATGACGCGTCATTCTGCTTTGATGGCGAGTTCCCATTCTGCCCCAAAGAAAACTGTTATTCCTGCATATAGATGATGCGATGTATCTCTGTTTATATCTCAGCAGGCGCCATTTTGAAGCATATTCTGGAATACAGTTTTCTCGATTCTCGGCAAGATGACCGTATCTGGGGCTTGTGAGAATGATAACGATAATACCACAGATAGTGCCCATGACTGTCGCAAACGAAACTTCTCCACCAGTGTATGTTGCTTTTCACCTATTTATTGGGCGATTGTTTATCACAAACTGCTGAGAACTACTCAGGTCTTGAATAATTACTAACAAGACCAGTCAGGTCAATCAGCAGAACAGTATATGTCACAGCTACTCACGCGACCGAAGCGGCACAGGTTTGCAGCAGATGAGGACTTGAGCGATGATGATGAGGAACAAAATCACCAAATGAGACACGCAGGATACATAAAAAAGCTAACCCTCAAAAATTTTATGTGTCATGATCATTTCGAACTAAACTTTGGAAGCCGTATGAACTTCATCATTGGGCGAAATGGATCAGGTAAAAGTGCCGTGCTTACCGGAATTTCTGTGGGGTTGGGTGCGAAAGCTACAGACACCAATAGAGGGTCATCTGCGAAGAGCCTCATCAAGGATGGGAAGTCAATGGCAAGAATTCTTGTGGAGATTGAAAATGATGGTGTAAATGCATATGAGCCTGAAATATATGGTAAGTCCATCTTTGTTGAAAGAAAGCTTACGCGCGAAGGTAGTAACTCTTATGCGATCAAAAGCGAAAATGGTTCCGTGGTATCCAACAAAAAGAAAACATTGGACGATATATTGCAGCGGTTCTTTATTGTTGTTAACAATCCTTTGTCCTTCCTCTCTCAGGATAAAGCCAGAGAGTTCATTGCAAACAGTACAGAGCAGAGCAGATATACGTATTTCTCAGAAGGAACCAATATCCGATCAATTATTCTCAACTATGAAGAAGCCTCTCAAAATATTCACAAACTACAGAGCCGGCTGGTGACGGCCAGATCATATTTCAAGGAAGCAGGCGCAAGATACTTAGAATCAGAAAGACTATACAAGAAGTACAAGCAATCTCACAACTTGAGACAACAGCTGGAAAAAATCCATGGTAAAATTTACTGGTTTAACGTTGAAATGATGAAAAAAATGATCGCAAAGAAAAAATCAGAGGTTCAAGGAAAGGATCATGATACGAAAGAAATCGACCAAATCATCAAAGACAACGAAGTCAAAATTGAGCAGGAAAGAGAACAAACAAAGAGATTGGCATCCGAAAAAAAAGAAATAGGGGAAGAACTTGATTCTAAACAAGAGGATTTTATGAAAGCCGAAGCGATGTATGACGAAGCTGCCAGAAATGTACAAAGCGTGGTATCCGACCTAAAAACATACAAGAAAGAAATCCAAGAATATTCACATGAAGTCAAGAAACACGAATCAGATCTCGCTGCAGAGCAAAAGAAAATTGACGATGCAAACGGTGGATCAAAACAAGCCATGTCTCAAAAGTTAGAATTACTAAAAAAACATCAAGAAAAATTAATTTCGTCAAAGGATCAAATTCAACAACAGTTATCGGAGTTTTCAAGAGACAACCCAGAGATAGAAGCGGTAAACAAAGAATTGAACAAGCTCATGCATTCTCTTTCTACCTTACGAGACAAAATGTCAAGAGTCGAGAAAGCCAAAAGCGACAGATACGCCGCTTTTGGTTTGAACTCTGGAAATTTGGTGAGAGAAATTGAAAAGGAAACCACATGGCACCGTAATCCAATTGGCCCGGTGGGATGCTATGTCTCGGTGAAAGAAAACTTCTCAAAGTGGGGTGACTTGATCAATGCCACTTTACAAAGGACACTAGACTCCTTTGTTGTCTGTGATGAACACGACAGGAAACTTCTAATTGGTCTCATGCGCAGAAATCGAGTACACAAGAGCATTATAGTGAGGAGATTTGAGAAATTTAGTATCAGCAACCAGCTTCTGTCACGTTACTCTACGATGCTAGATGCTCTCGAATTTCAAGATGAAGACGCCAAATATACTCTTATCGACTCCACTGGTCTTGAAGAGCTTGTAATCTGCGAGTCACTTTCAGACGCCGAGAGTGTTACTAGAGATCATCAGGTTAAACAAGCATTTTGTCTTAACGATCGAAATTCTGGAATTCGTATTTCGAGAAGAGATGGGCAGTTGTCTCGTGACCCCGTATTTTATTCTCGTGACCTAAGAAAACTTGCGGGGAAAGTAGATAGCGAATCCTTTGCACATGAACTCGAGGAGCTTCTTAGACAACAGACTTTACTTCAAAGGCAAAAAAGAACTCTTCAAGAGGAAGAGCGTGGTCTGAAAGCGCGTTTGGATCAGCGGTTAGAGCAAATGAAATCTCAGCTCAAGACAATCAAGAATCTGATATTTCAAGCTCAGGAATCACTTGAGGAAGAGGGGGATTATGGCAGAATCGCAAATTTGAACCTGCAAATAGAACTTTGCCAAAATCAAATCGAAACACGAGAAGGTATGTCTGTTGAGCTTATGAAGAGTTTAGCCGATTCCAAACGCGAGCTTCAAACAAAGAAAGACATACTCGAGCAAGAAAAATTGCAGAAAAATCATATCGCAGAGAAACTTGCAAATTGTGAGGTGGAGGCAAATTGTCATGCAGAAGCTATTCTGCTACTAAAAGCCGAAATCGATAGTGCAACAAGAAGAAAAGAAGTGCTTTTTGAGTCAATTAATGCACTTGAGCAAAAGCTAATGGAATATTCACAAAAAGAAGAAGAACTTATCAAACTAGCAGAAGAGCGTTGTGCAAGATCGGAAGTGACCATCTCAGATACCGATACTTCTAAAAGCATAACGGCGGAATACAAGAGTATACAACAAGCAATCGAGCAAATGGAGAAGCAGCATGAAAAATCTTTGGAGGATGTTCAGAGAGAGCTTTTAACTGCAAAGGCCTTGAAGGATAAATGTGAACAAACTCTCATTGAAGTTGACAACGCCAGAGTGAATTTGGAAAACGACTTGAACTCCAGATTCGAAAATCTCAATATCACTATACAAGAGAAATTGACGAGAGCTAGGCAATCATTTGAGCAATCTTTGGCGTTAAGAGGCTTCAAGGGTAAATTGGAGTTTGACTTCAAAAATAAAAAAGTTATAACCGAAGTCCAAACAGAAGACAACAAAGAAACACGAGCAGTTCTGTCCTTATCTGGAGGTGAGAAATCTTTCACGCAAATTGCATTTTTACTCAGTATTTGGAAGATAATGAAGCCAAGAGTGTGTGGCTTGGACGAATTTGACGTTTTCATGGACTCAGTCAATCGTACTATTGCCATTCGGCTCCTTATTCACGAGCTTAGGGGATCCACTGCTCAATCAATTTTCATAACACCACAAGATATTGCTGTTGTTGGGGACTTACAAGATAGCGAGGACGTGAAAATTCATGTGATTCTGCCACCCCGAAGTGATTAGACATACGCTATTTAAAAATTGGATTTTCAGTGATGTAATTTCGTAGGTCCAGAGAGCTCAAACCACACGAAAGAGCATTTTTATAGGCACTGGAGCCCAACCCGATAGGCTTACCCCCCCTTGATTTCCAAGACTCCGATATTTGATTGATTTCATCAATATTGGCTAGAGGAGAAGAAAAGTAACATTGTAGGAATGAGCGGAAACATGCGCGAGACATGGAAGAATTGCGAACTAGTCTTTGGCACAACTCATAGCTTGTCATAAGTTGCGATTGCAAAGCTTTACAATCATGGGACTCTTGGGCTTGAAATTGTATTTCCAAAGCTTTGAAGATACGCTGAAAGTCAATTTCTGTAATGCAGGCTGTCTCTTTAACACGAGGGAAAAGTGAAGGCAACTTGTTGATGACTGCAATTGCTTCTGGAATATGTCCCGTCTCACATAAACATGCTATCACAAACTTGCCCATTGAAGAGTGATTATTGAAAATGAAAGCCAAAAGTCTATCAACGACCGAGTCATGACGAGCCATTAGCTCTTTCAATTTCTTGCTCAAAAGTGATTTAAATTTGGGTAAGTCTTGGACGGACAATACGCCATCGAGAATAGCCCAGTAGAGTGATCTTTCGAAAGTGTAATCGTTGAATTTGATATCCGGGCAAAATGAATTGTTGAATTTATCGGAGTCTTCTTGAACAATATGTGAAATGTTTTGAGCGATATTCATCTTTCTTTTTTTGTAATGCATGTGACTTGCATACTTCAAGGAATAGACCAGGTCTTTTGGATCTCTATAACCAATGTGACCTTTGTACTTGATTGCCAATGCAGTGAAAGCATTCAATGCCTCTGAAAATAGACCCGCTGCTGCCAAAAACTCAACTTTGGTAATATATAGTGTTTGATAAACATCTCGATGCCCGAAATTTGAATAAAACCTTTTAAAATACTGACGAAGGCCCTCCACCGCAACGTGGTTTCCATTTTGAGCGAAGACTATAGCCAAACTCTCAATGGTGGTCGGTAGCAATAAGAACAAAATATGCTCATTCTCCTCAGAGATCGGACCATCGCCACTGAAATTGACAAACGGATTTATAATTTCATGATAGGCTAAAGAGGCTGCCCCATGGTGTCCAAGTGAAGCGGATTTTGAAGTCAACAACGACCAGAATTGATTGGAAAATCGGTAATGCTTGAAATTAGAATGAAGCAAAATATGTACTAGTGACACCACGGCATTCATATTGTCAGACCTCATCAAAGACAACAAGTATGTTTCCACTAGTTCTGGCAGGATTCCAAGAGGTGCGCTATCCACAACATGCTGAAAAATTAGACTAGACTTCGTCTTTTCCATCAACAAACAATGTAAAGTTAGAGATTCTCGAACAGGTCCACGAGGCATGGCCTGATGAATATGGCGTTGTTCAGTACTTTTGAGCTTGCGGAATTCCTCAAGCACCCTCTTAAAAGAGTTAAGTTCATCACCACTCTTCAAGGGATTGAGGCCGAGGTCAAGTAACCATTTTTTAGGGTCGAAAGCTCGGGTAGTGTAACGACTTCGAAGAATCAACATAGTAATGGCAATTTTTTTAGAGGCGCGACAGACGAGAAAAAAATGTGGTTCAAAATGACTGGGGTTGAAGGGAGCCAATATTGTGAAAAGACTATCCAATTGAAAATGTAGTACTGTTGACTCAATATTTCTTACGCCTGTAGGAGCTTCCCCATTGAAGAATTCAATACTTTCATATCTCCGTTCAAAAATTCTTTCAGCTCGATCAAGTTGAAAATAAACTAACCAAATCTCAGAGCAAAATTCGCTTTAAATTCCAGGTTTTTACGAAGGAAATGACCACTGCTATTAATCTAGCAAGAGAATCAGATATTAGCCGTAGCGTCTAAAAGAAGTGATTCCATAAAGGGTCATGCATGCTCTCGTCAGTCAAATAATTACCAATGATAACTTTTGAATCTGCTATATTCAGGAATCGCGAGACAAGATATTCACCAGGAAAAAACCAGGACGAAGCAGCTCAAACATCGATCAGGAACTCAAACCATGCTCAAATTTGGGGTAACTCGCTCGACGCGATCATTGAACTTCAAGGCTTCATCAAAATATGCAGCAAGTTTGCGGCCGAGTCTCTCCTACAACATGAGCGCCGGCTCGATCTCATCTGCGGTTTTTGGAGTGAGATACAACTCGTCAGCTCCGACATCTGAGATCAAGAACAAGCTCACAGATTTCTCAGCTGAGAACTCAAGTGTTGTCTCTGATATGGTGACTACCACCATGAGGTCTGATGAACTAGGTTATATGGCGTCAATTGGTCTTGGAGAGGGCTGGGGCCCCACCGCTCTCATCACCAACATTCTCGAGATTACTCATGTATATACTGGTTTACCATGGTGGGCTTCTATTGTATGCGCCACTTTCGCCGTACGTACCATGATGTTTCCCTTGTACGTGAAGTCCTCGGCTAATATGGCCAAAATGTCCAGAGTCAAGCCCCAGGTTGACCAGCTTATGAACGAGATGAGAAGCGGAACAAACTCAGAAAAGATGGCCGCCATGAGCCAGCGAAACAAGTTGTATAAGGAAAACGACATTAAGACCTTGCACTCATTCTTGCCTATGCTTCAATTGCCGATTGCCTATGGGTTTTTCCAAGCGACAAGAAATATGGCAAATTTCCCAGTGGAAGGATTCACTACTCAGGGTGCCTACTGGTTTGAAAACTTGACTCAAGCTGACCCTTACTTGGGTTTGCAAATTCTGACAGCTCTTGTGGTCACAGGTATGATGAGAGGTGGTGGAGAAACCGGTGCTCAGACTATGAACCCGATGGTCAAAAAGGTTATGACATATTTGCCATTTCTTTCGATTTTTGTGACCTACAACTTGTCCGCGTCGGTCTTGGTATATTTTGCCGCAAACGCTGTTTTCTCCTTTTTTCAATCGCTTATCTTGAAGAATAAACACTTCCGGAAGTTTGCAGCGATTCCTCCAATTCAACCACCAATCACTGTGCCTGGCGGTAAAGCACCTCCCGCGTCTGTGAGTGAATGGTGGAATGAATACAACTCAAATTTGAAAAAACAGGCTCGTTCAAAAATGGAACAAACAAACAAAAAGCTTGAAGCCATGGAGTCAAGAAGACAAAACAAAGGTGATGGCTTTATCAAAAGACATTAGAAAACTTAACTGTAAATAGCCCTTTATATTCTATTATAATTGAAAACAGACTGTATTATTTACCGCCTTTGACTATTAGTAGCAGCTCTTCACCTTCGGGGTCAAATATCAACTGATAACTTTCTATCAACATCTCGAGTACGTGATTTATGACACCAAAGTTATTCATCAATGTCTCCAAATTGCTAGCTTCTGTTAAGGCTGGTCCGATTACCGTCGCCAAATTGGAACATGTCATTTTGTTGCTTTCATTTTGCTGCACAACAACGCTTAAGTGCCTCACAAGAGCTCGAAGTGTGCAATAATTTTCACGAGGAAGGGTGGAAAATATCTTCCTTAACGCTAGTACATCATTTTTCGTGAGTCCGTCCTCCTTATTCGATGTACGTCTCAAAGCGCACAACATCTCAATGACTTGATCGGTCAAAAGCGCGTCGGGCAATTCACGGAAGAACGATTTCACACAACTCGTGAGAGTGTGTACGTCGACAGTCCGATTTCTAAAATTTATCACGCCGGTCCTATTGATTTCTTGCTTCAATGCACTTAACTCACTAAGAGAAGTGCTTATCCGGTAGATACCCACCTCCTTCAAACAATCTTTTTCGATGACTTCATATATCGAAGCCAAAATCGCTGGGGAGGCCAAGCCATCTCTTGCACAAATTGTAGCCAAGGGTATACCGAATGTAGTATGAGAATGGTCAGACTTCAAGTTTATCGACTTGGATAAAAACCAATGCCTGTTCGCGTAATTCAAGCTGCGAAGCCAGCTCTTAGCATCAGTTTCACTTGAAGCCTGAAAAAAACAAGCTTCGTGGGCATTGTGACTGTCAAATTTGAAACAGTAAGGAAGAAGATAGACTGGAAAGATCTTCCGATCTTTCAATCGAATGACAAGCAACGGTTTTTGGCGCGGATCTGCCACAGTGATAGGGTCTGGTAGTTCTTTGTATGTAGTAACTCTCTCATACCCCCCAGTGTGCCCAAATGAGCGAGATTTGTTGAATAGGCCGCTTATCTTGAATCTGGAAGAAGATGCAGTCTTGTATGACAATGATTGTCGTCTTAAGTTCGTGCTTGAGGGGGTTTGAGTAGCATGCATTCGCTCATTGCTCAGGGTCGAGATTCCATGTCCTGTGCTTCTATTCTGTTCATCACGGATATTGATCGAGTATTGTTCCTTAAGAATTGTATCAAACAATAATTTAGTACTAGACAGATCAATGTTCCCAAGATTTCCTAAGACACGCCTTTCATCCAATTGAAAAAGGAATTCAAAATCTTTCGTGTCTCTCTGAAGCTCATTGCTCTTCAATTCTTCCACATTCAACTCTCTAATAAGTCTGTATAGGAAGTACCTTTTATTGAAATTTATCGCACTTCTGTGGAATGATGGGCATTCATTCAAATGTATGAGATTTTGGATGATCCAACCAAAACATGGAAGAAGAGGCTCACTCGCAGCCGACAAGTCTGAATGTTTGATATGTTTTGGCAAAAGGGATTCGATGCCATCAACAGCAAGACTCGGGTTTTGTACGGATATGTTCGAACCTGATGAAGCGTTGAGCCAAAAGTGAGCAAGTGAGCGACTTTCTGGTGAATACATGATACTTGTGATTGCTGTCTCAACGCAAGAAGGAACAAATTCACGGTCGCCTTCGAAGACAAATACACTATCTCTCATTTTCAATCTTGAGATCGTTATCATGAGCAATAATGTTTTCATCCTTTCGAGACGTTCCTCGTCACCAAGACCTTCATCGCAAATTTGAATAAGAAGGTACGCCTTGAACTTTTGATAGAGACTGTAGAGCTTTTTGAAAACCAACGGAAACTTGTTGAGTACTTTCTCATGAGCATCTGTTTCAAACAATGACTCGAGGTAGGTGAAAACATCACTTACTCTGAGGTTTTTTTCGGAGGTTCCAGCAGTTTGGATATCGTAATTCAAAAGTGTGGAATTCGCAAATTGATTTTCAAGAATTTTGAAAATGGCAAACCAGTTCTCGGGAGTGATACCTTGATAAAAAATTGCAAGGAGCTTATTAAACTTAATGATAAACTTCTCCACTTTGTGAAAATTTTTGTGGCTGGGAAGGTTTCTGTTCATTGGAACCTCCCGCACACTTCGAGAGAATTCGAAATCTTGGCTGAGAAGTAGGTCAAACTTCAGCATTTTCAGTGGCCTGTAGGTCTTTTTAATGAAATTGCTTTTTAGTCTCTTGTAAAGTCCTACAAGATTCTCGTATGACTCATTCAATGTATCATCAATCTTGTTCGAGTTATACCACTGCAAAATCTCGTTACTGTATAATTTGAGAATTTTTATCATGATAGTTTTGTTGTGCAAATCATTCAAGAAGCACTCAAAAAAATGGCTTAGTAGAATGAGCAAAACCTTGAGTATATTTGCCTGTATCTCAAGAAGTAGCTTATAGTCTACCTCACCCAACTGAGATAAGTCAACACTATTATCTGAATTCCAATTAGGAAAAGCGCCAAAAGAAACTGGGTCCCAAATTCCCTGCTTTTGCATGAACAGTCTTCTCATGACGGAGATGACAGCATTGCCAGAATGAATGAATCTATGAGAAAGCCTCTCAAGTAGCTCTTTTGTTGTTATAAATGAGCTATAATTCAACATAAAGACAAACCTGTACTCAGTGAGATCAATCAAGTGGGTCTCATCTAAGTACTTGGAGTCAAGTAAGAGCAAATCGATAAGTTTGTCCATCGTAGCAAAACGCGGAATATAATTCTGCGAATGGCGATGAGAACCTAAGTAGGAGTGACGAGAGACGAGTCCGAAACTGCAGTGTTTTCTTTTGGTAGAGATACCATCCGTACTCTCAGAATCACTTAATGAAGAGAGAGTTTTAAACTTTTCTGAATTCATCAATTCTTCGACATCAATTCCCAAACCATCATCATTATCTGTTGACTGAGTGATCTCACCAGTAGATGTTGTCGGGGTCACTGTATTTTCAAAGTCATTGATGAAGTCATCAAGGCGAAGAACCAAGTCACTATCAACAAATATATCATGTGATTCACGCGTGTCTTCAGCCCTGTCCCTCAGATGAGATAGAAGATCATCATACTTTGAAACATCAATTTTGTAGTATTGAAGGTTGAAAGTTGGTAGCTTATCTTTGAAAGAGGAATCGGTCTTTGAAGATGTTTGATTCCTAATGGAAGTGTCATCCACTTCGGGGGTTGAACGGCTTGCCATGGAGATACCCGAATCTATTGATAAAGGGCTAAAGATTTCTTTCAGATCGTCCTTCAAGAAAACGTCAAAAATGCCTTTATCAGGCAGATTCAAGTAACCTTCCTTCAAGCTCGGCTCCATACGCAAAGAATGGCTCATCACAGTAGAAAGACTAATTGAATCGCAATTTAGCTCGAGTAAACAGAGAAGTTTTCTTCGCAATTCGTCCTGAATTTTAGTTCCGTCAATTGGATCAGTGGCTATTTCAGGAGCAGGAAGTTTGGGAACCAGAGGAGTGATTTTACCGTCTTCTTTGTTGACTCCGAGATAAAGCACTTGATTCAAACTTTCATTTGAGAACATGAATCCCATGGAATCATAGCGTCTCAACACATCCTGATTGTAAGATATAATATCCTGCGAATTAGAAAGATTACTGAGGTATTCATTCCATCTTTCAAAAGAATGTGTAATTTTTTTCCAAACATTTTCGAGTTCTGCGATATTTGCCAGGTTAGTATTGTTTACTAACAAGTCGCCAAAATAAGGAACCACCTTTTCCTTCGGAAAAATTTTTCCCAATCCTCTGGGAGCCATGATGTGATACGACTCCTTGAAAACCGGAAGTAGCCCGTTGGACTGAGCATCCGACAGCAGAACATTAGTTGTGTGAACAAAACACCTTTGATCGAGTTCATACAAAATGGGTGACCAGTCATTTTTCAAAAGCTTAATGTAGTCTTCACCCACTTGAGACCAAACATCTTTCAAGCGAAGTATTGGCTGAGATAAAATTATAGAAGAGATCCCCAACCATGAAGACATGTTTCCAAATTTATCTAAGAGACAGCCGAGATCAATCCACCTCTCGAGAATCCGGGCTTTTATATCAGTCGTGGAATGAAGGTTCTCAACAAACAAGTGATTTACGAGAAGCCTCGATAAATAGTGAAGGTGCGTCTCGTTGTTAAAAACCAAAGGGTTTTTCTTGTAAAAATAATCACCAGGATTATTTTCGTCCATTGAAGTAGAAAGCAACAATGACTTATCCGTGCTTGAATTCCAACTCTCGTAGAACAATAAATCAATGTCGCTGATGGCAGTCACAAGATCAAGGAGATTAAACTTGTGTAAAAATCTATGTGCGCTCAATTCATCGAATATACTCTCATTTAAAACACTTGAACGAGGTGTTGAATCGACAGATCCAATGAGATCAAGTAAAGTTAGTTGTTTTTTGACAATAGAATCTTGAATTTGTGTGATTATGTCCAAAAACTCAACTGGACTCGCACTACCGACAAGTTGCAAGAGTTTTAGAATATATGGTGCCACGTCAGCTTTTAGTAGAAACCCGCTGAGGTGTTTGTCAATATGTTTCAACAAAGTAAGAATGCGTTCGAATAGATCTGCTCCGGGCTGGTAATTATCAAAACTGCCGCTAAAAATTGCTTGCAAGTATGTTTCCATGAGCTTGAGTACATCGGCGAAATTCGGGAGTAGAGGGAAGACTAATGAAAGCTGACGAATTGCCATTCCATGCACTTGACCATCAGCGAATATGAAATAATGCACTAATGCTTCAATGGGACACGACGGAGCAAATGTTTCAGATGTCGTGTTAAATTTGAGTTCCGGGTGGGGGAAATTTGGCAGAAAGTGGGAAATTTTGTCAGAAGGAATCACCGACTGACTAGCTGTTGATAATGAAGTCAGGGTAAGCAACAGTTTGGAAATATTGCGAGGTGCACTTTCATTGCCGAGTGTTTCGATATCGCTCGTGGATGCAAACGTGGAACTGGACGTCGCAGCTGTGTAGTCCCCCACCGAAGGAGTTTCACTTTTTGCCAAGACTCTCTGATATGAAGCAGAAATCGTGGCTGTTTCCAGCTCAGAAGTCATGCCCGCATTTGGAGCAGGCAATTGGGGATCAAGCTTGAACAGAAGAACATTCATCAGCAGCGGAGGCCTATAAATGTATAGGTAGGAGCCGCGCAACTCGACACGGTACAAGCGAAGAGAAGACTCATTGAAATCTTGCATTGGCGAGGCATTCAAGCATCCATTTAACCAGGCATGCTTCACCGATTTCACGTCGTACTCTGGATCAATCAACGAACGAACATGCGAGACAGAAGATTCCAGTTCAATAGACTCCGCAAGAGATTGGGTATCGTCATTATTCGCTAGCCTGGAGGCCGCAGACATTGAACGCCTCTTGGAGCTCTTATTCCACATTTTCCTCATGACTGGATATGTCTGGAATTAGCTCTCTCCTTTTTTTTTATCTTCGAAGGGATGTGATCAATTCCGAACAGCGAAGTCGTTTCCAAGGGGAGTCAACAGTATACGGATCCGAAGAGCTTGCCCTGTTCCAACCAATGAGGAAAATTGAAAAGACAAATAGTGAAAGAAAGAATCTCTCAAATTATGCTGAATTTTCTTAAGGAGTGGGGGAAAGTTTAGAAAAAAAGCAGGTGATCGACTTTCCACGTTTCGCGAACGAGTCGTTGAGGGGAGGTTCGAAAGTCGCTTTCGATGCACCACTTTGCAGGCGTACACAAGAGCGTGAAGGCGCGAGCGAAAACATTACTAGAGGGGAAGCTTGAGAGCAGTGGCGCAAGACAATCGAGCTGAGAGGAATTTCCATTCTACACCCAAAAATACACACAGGCGTGGACGCACGAGTTTTACGAATACAGAAATAGGGAGAAGAGAACCAAATGGCGGACAGTAAGAAATTCGCCTGTCTGGCTGTTTTAATATTTATATTTTGACGACGTGTCTTTTTTTTACATCTTTACGAATAAGCTGGCATACTGGGTAATGCTGGGCGCGAAGGGCTTTGCGGACAGGCTTTGCATTGAGATTTTCGGCCCTGACTGTGTTGTCGTCGCCTGATATGAGATCAGCAAACAATGCAAACACTTTGAACCTTTAGCTTTGAGGTATATATTTTCAGAAAGAGCTCAGCGCTTGGGCTGTCTTGACTGTTGACAATCTGATATAGCCGAAGCCAAGGAGAAGTAGTCACCACATTGCCTCTGATCTCGATGGGGCATGGAATGCGTGTCTGTAGGTGCCAGAACAGGTGAATGGTACTGTATTTCGCGTTGGTCGGTCGTCGCTTCGGTACGCACGCACCGCGCCTACTAATACCGCTCAAAACCGCTAGAAAAATATTTTAAATGGGGTTTTTTCTGGATTAGTTTGCCTTCACCTCGCTTGCTTCAGGATGTTATGCACGAACTGCCTTAATTTGCACCCAGGGTTCAAGCACATACGCCCATGAAACAAATCCTAGCTCCCCGGGATTCTCAACATTTACTCTGCTTGACACTGCAGATATTTGCATGTATTTTGTGGACAGCGCCCCAGCTGAATTAGTGTGCACCTCAGATGAATATGACACTCTGAAAGAGCATCGCGTTCGAGCTTTGTGTGGGATGCTTCACGGGAAAAGTAGCCAGATAAATTCTGAAGCGAAGTGTATTCTTTCCTTGGAACCCTACATACACTGTGCCGGAATATGCACGATGCTTCGTGAGCCAGCGTTCTGAATGGATTCACGCGAAAAAAAACTGGAACCCGCGGCACAAGCCAAGCATCGTTGAACCGCAAATCTGGCCCGAGGCCCGTAATTCCAATCTCCCAGCTCGCTCACGACAGAAATTTGTTTCCACTCCAGACTCTTATGACACGCGCACATAGTTTAGCTGGCTGGCCTAGGCTATGCCGCCAGCTTAGGTTCAATTCTACTAAAGATGCGATAAATTATGCGAACAGAAAAGAATTGATTTCTCAGCAGCCTCAATCATATTATCCAACGATTCGCGAGCTTCGCTGTCAAGCTCCAGTTCTTCGGGTCCGAGAATTCATTTCCAAATATGGGCAGCTCCGTTCGCTGGACCTCAATGCCGATGAAGCTCCCGAAACTCTTCAACTAGAAGGCAGAATACGATCTATAAGAAAATCTGGGAAGGGTCTTTACTTCTTGGATTTGGTGCAAGATGAGGCTAAAGTGCAAATATATGCCTCTAACAAACTTCTTGGTTTGTCGAAAGAAGAGTTTGCTGATATTCACATGTTTATTCGGAAGGGTGACCATGTATCCTGTGTCGGAAACGCATACAAAACAAATGTTGGCGAATTGACTTTGCGAGCCACATGTCCCATCAAAGTGGCGAGCCCCTGTCTCAACTTTGTTACTTTACCAGACAAGGTAAGCGACCGAAGCTTGATCAATAGCAACAGAGTTATGAACTATCTCGTCGACAGCCCGCTGAAGCAAAGAATATACGTTAAGTCTGCTGTTACCCAGGCGATTCGTACCTTTTTCTTGAATGACAGCTTCACGGAAGTTCAAACTCCAATCCTCTCTGGCGCAGGAACTGGTGCCAACGCCGAACCTTTTCACACAGTTCTGAAAGCACTGCAAATCAACAAGCTCCAACTCCGAGTCGCCCCCGAGCTATGGCTCAAAAAGCTTGTTATCAGCGGCTTTGATAAGGTGTTTGAGATAGGTCTGAACTTCAGAAATGAAGGCATCGATGCAACACATAACCCCGAGTTTCTCACTTGTGAATTTTATCGTTCGTTCACCTCTCTTCCACAGTTGATGAGGATCACGGAAGACTTGTTCAGTTTTATCTACCGAGAGCTTGAAAAGAAGCAGTGTCTGTTTTCTGTACTTCAAGAGACTCTTCCCAAACTCACTGCTCTAGCCAGCAATGACTACCGTAAAATAGAATTTATCCCTGGCATTGAAGAGCAAACTGGCGTGAGGATGCCTTCTGAACTTGACACGGATTCACTAGTGGCGTACTATGCCGCTATTGGATTGGCACTTCCATCCCAAAAAAGTCCTTCCAGCTTGTTAGATAATTTGTCTGGGGTATACCTAGAATCCTTGAGCAAAAAGGCATCCAATACTCCCTTCTTCATTTATAATCAGCCTTCCGTCATGTCGCCATTGGCTAAGTCCAGCGTGATTAGCTACAGTGGTGATAGAAGGTACGATGTTTCCCTACGCTTCGAAATGTTCATAAATGGGAAAGAATTCGTGAACTCTTACGAAGAAGAAAATTCGCCCTTCGATCAACGCAACAAGTTTATTTTACAACAGCGCAATAAAGCTGATTATCAAGACAACGAATCGCTAATACCTGATTGGAATTATGTTAATCTGATGGAGTATGGCCTACCACCTACAGGTGGATGGGGCTGTGGTATTGACAGACTTAGCATGTTGTTCAGCGGCGCTCTGCGTATTGAGGACGTGCTTACCTTTGGCACACTTCGTGATGTGGTTAAGCAATGAATGACAAAATACGCACATAGAATGGACTTAATACTAGTAAAGGAGCTCTTTCTCTTTCCTCGTGGTACATGTGTAGGAACATGGGGCGACGTAATCTGGTGTTCAAGAGACATAGTCAAAATTCCTTGCACAATCTGCTTTGAGAAGTCTTTTTTATTGTGCTACAGCTGGAATAATCAATCTCCATTCAAGTATTAGGAACAGACAGAGAACCACGATTCTCAATGGTTTATATTATCAATTACCTATCATTTGAAGAACGAGGCCCTGTTCCGCGCGTTCGCGCGTACTCTTCGTTGTGGTCTCACATTTTCGTTCACGAACATTTGAGACAAAATCACACGAAGGCTCAGCTTTTAGAAGCCACGGTGCCCAGCGATGAGTTTCGAAGAAAACGAAGACAAAAATGGTGTCCGGGTCACGTGGAATAATATCCCTAAATCCAAGCTTCAACACCATAGAAACATAGCTCCGTTGGCTGCTCTTTATACTCCGTTGAACAACAAAAGCCCAGTCAACTGTTTTGATGAATCGCATATGCAGAGATGCCGCCAATGCAAGGCCTTCTTAAATCCATATGTGACGCTCAATCAACAAACCGAGGATATTTGGTATTGTCAATTCTGCAAATTTGGCAATCGGTTATCAAGCATTCCAGGAGAATTTCCGCAAGCACTTAACCCTGATAACTCTACTGTCGAGTACACCACAGGGCGTCACGCAAAGCTTCCTCCCATTTTCTTCTACGTTGTAGATACTTGCTTTGAGGGTGAAGATGTCACCGATGCGTTCACTGCATTGCAAGAATCTTTGAGTTTGTCATTGTCTCTTCTACCCTCAGATTCGTTGGTTGGATTTTTGAGTTTTGGAAAACATGTTTCTTTGCATGATATTTCCGAACCGGGATCAAGTTTTGTTTTCAATGGATCGAAGGAATACACGTTGGAGGATGTACAGAAGATACTCGGCATAAGTTCCTCAGTTGTTTCCAATCAAGGTGTCATCAGTTCTTTGGGCCAAAAATTTCTTCAAAAAATTGATATCGCTGAGTACAATCTTGCTACTATAATTGAAAATCTAACAAATAATACTTTCCCACACTTGTCAAGAAAAGAGCGTGCAGCGAGAGCGACCGGATGTGCACTCAACGTATCCGCTTTGGCTCTACAGGCTATTTTAGGCAAGCAAAACTCTGCAGGTGGACATATTATGTGTTTCATAGGTGGTGCAGCCACATATGGGCCAGGTAAAATTGTCAGCCTCCCGTTAAAGGAGCCAATGAGATCACATCGTGATATTGAGAAGGCTAAAGCTACTTTACCGAATATGACGAATGGTGTTGCCAAGGTCGACACCCTGCTTTACAAACAAGCCAAAGCACTCTATGACAAGATTTCTACGATATTTATTTCGATCGGCATTGGCTGTAATGTTTTTGCAGGCTCTTATGATCAAGTTGGTCTTTACGAGATGGATAGAATATGTGCCAATACTGGTGGTTTGGTTGTGATGTGTGACTCTTTCACCACATCGATGTTCAAACAAAGTGTCATCAAGTTTTTCCAGAAACAAAATGATGATCCTGATGAGTACTTGGAGATGGCTTTTAACGCAACATTAGAATGTCACATCACCTCAGACCTTCAAATCCAAGGAGTAGTTGGAAACGCTGCAGGATTGCCACCTAGAAAAGACAAGTTTGTGGAGGCATCCTTGTCGCCGCAGTGCATTGGTCAAGGAAACACAAATGCCTGGAAATTATCTTCCGTGAACACACAGTCGACTTATTGCATTTTTCTTGAGAAGTTGGATTCAGCGCAAGTTGGCCACGCTTTCATACAATTTTCATTTCATTATCAGCATCCTAGCGGAGAATTGAGATTGCGTGTCACAACAATTCCACTAGCCGTGATTGCGGATCTGGATGCTTTGAATCTAGAGTCAGGCTTTGATCAGGAGGCAGCTCTCGTTGCCATTGCTCGGAATGCCATTGATAAGCTCCAATCGGATGGCTTCAGTGCTAAAACTTCTTCTTATGATGAATCAGACCTCACAAAACATCTCGATAAGTTGCTTGTGGAATACTGTGGTCGATTTTCACAGTATAGAAAAGGCGATCTTGCGCTGTTCCGATTGTCCAATAGCTTTGCTATGTTGCCGCAATTCATGTATCATTTGCGCCGGTCCCAATTCATAAGAGTTTTCAACAATTCTCCAGATGAGACTAGCTTTGTTCGTCACACTCTCATGCATGAAGATGTCACAAATTCGTTGATTATGATACAGCCATCCCTTCTTTCATACGACGTGGAGACCTATGGTGCTCCGGATGAAAATGGGAACCCCCTCATGGAGCCCGAAGCTGTGTTATTAGATTCTATGTCCCTTGGATCTACCAAAATTCTACTCTTGGACACTTTCTTCCAGATCCTAATATATCATGGCTCAACTGTGGCTCAATGGAGAGCGGCGAATTACCACAACATGGAGGGGTACGAACATGTCAAACAATTTTTGGAAGCGCCCAAAAAAGAAGCAGTAGAGGTGTTGGTGGATAGATTTCCACTTCCACGGTTCATAGATTGCGACGAGGGCGGATCACAAGCTCGGTTTCTCATGGCGAAATTAAATCCATCCACCAGCTATGCGACGAATCCAAACCGCGTATTTGGGCAGGCAGGCGGTCAGTCTGATTTGATGACCGATGACACGAGTTTACAAATGTTCATGGATCGCATTCAAAAGCTTATTGTCGGTCGGAAGTAGCTAATCGAGGATATATGGCCATCTCATCAATAGACATTTTGGAGTTATTCGCAGATGATTTGTCAAGACAATCTTCTTCTAGAAATTGATTCCGTAGTGCCTTGCATCAATCTTTCAAGAGACATTTTGAAACCTATTTTTGCTAAGTTGTCATTATGATAGACAAAGATATTGGTGGTTTAATATACCAATAGAATATTTTTTAAACATAAGATACATGATATCAACGAGTTTTAGTTGACGGAACTAGGAATGCAACTTCCCGTCCCTGTCTGCAGAGAAAGCTATGAAAACAATGACAAAAGATGCCACGTAAATATAACTCCTGAACAGAATTCCAGTGTTTTGAATGATTCAATCCAAATGGTTCTCAATTCCGATTCATGACATAAATTGCTAAATCTTGATTTCATGATATCGAGAAGCAATTGTCGGTCGGCTCGTTTCTTTCACCTTAAAAGAAAATGTTGCCTGTCTGCTCATACAATTTTGCAATCTTCCGTCAAAGAATAGGGCATATAAGAATCTCACCGCTGGCGGAGTACGTGATAGAGACAACTCGCATGGTAATGCGTAAAGACTAGACGCTAACAGAAATCCTTCGAATTCCGTCATCAATATATTATAGTCTAAACCCCCCGAGCTGCTGCTTCCAGAACAGTATGCTTTCTCTCAAGCGTATGCCCGAGACTGAGTACAGACCATGGATAATTTAGATCTTGATTCTGTGCTTTCATGCCACTTCCCTATTCTTGTAAGAGGGCGAGTTTTTGCTGTTCTAATTCTTTGTACTCGTCACGCTGCTTTTCGATCTCATCTCTCACTTTCGTTATATATGCATCAAGTCGAGCAATCTCATCGGTTTCATTAGTTCGAAGGTACTCCTGATCCTTCTTATCAGGGTGACTGTATTTGTATGGTAGCAAATTCAGAGGTTTTTTAGTCAATATTTCGAATGCAGCCTCAGTAGGTTCTTGAAAAACGAGTTCATCGAATAGTACAGAGTGAACTTCCCCATTTTCTCGCTGTGGGGCCTGTGGATTATATGGATGAAGCTTCAAGGCATGAAAAATTTGAAAGTTTTTCTCGTTGATGCCCAATTCAGCACCTGAGTGGAAGTGAATTTTGATGACAATCTCGAACTCGCCCCAGCCCGTCTCAGTCACCTGATAAGGAGGAGACTCTACAGATCTAACCGGAGTTTCATATGTCTCATGAAGCTTGAAAGTGACTTTTTTTATCAAAGGAGTCAAATCGATATTGTTCAATGCGGGTTTAAGAAATACGGTCCATTCATGCGTATGGTCCACAGGAGTCTTGTCTGTCCTTTTCTCAGGCGCAAGTTTTTTGGCGCTGTTGCCATATAATATTGGCAAGGAGACGGAGATATTTTTGATTCTCTTCGACATTTGTGGGTCAGTTTAAGTCCTTTGCTGTTAATTCTTCATAATTCCTGCAGTGGTGTACCGCGCGCGTGTAGACTTACGGGAACAAACTGGTTGGTAGTTCCAGTGAAAACTGAAAATAACCCTTTGGGAAATCCGAGGAGTCAAAAACCAAAGCTAGAAAGATTTGGCTATGTTTGAACACCATTGGAAATCTTCATCCTCTAATTTGCAAACAAGTTCATGCGCTCCATCTGACTTGTTGTATGTGGGCGGTCTACTCTATGGCTGCTCGTGACATTTGAGCTGATATTGTTTTATACTCTTTTTTTTCAGCGACAATGCTGAAAATGGGTGACCAGTTCTCAAATTAGGCAGTAATACGTGTCAATCATTAACATAATGCTCAGCCCTCACTTCCCAAGTCAGGGCATAGTATTGCAAATTGAGAGAAATATTACGAATTGTATAGTGCGCCAATCCAAGCGAGAACGTTCAAGCCTAATTCCTAAATCAAATACTCTAAGACGCGTTTAAATCTACACTTTTGTTATCCACTGAATTTAAACTTAGATTCGCTGTCAGTGCATCATAACGTCCAATATTCTGTCGGGAGTAATACTTCAGTTCGAAGCATTTGAGAGTGGGGCTTAGCTTTGCCTTTAACCCATCAGCTGAGTCAATGTCTTAGCTGGAAATGAATTTTGGAGTGCATAGGTCTGCCTTGTGTTCATAATGCCATAGTCAGGCTATAGACAGACAAGTATATATCATGGGTGAGATGTGTCCCCATTGATGCTTTTAAAAAACTGCTGAATTTATAAGAAAAGGATAACAGACTCTCAAGTATATCTAGCTATAGAAGAAATAATCATTCTATAGACAACTTTAGAGGTGCTAGATGGGATCAGCGACGACTACAAAAGACTGGAGCTAAAATCAGCTCATAATCGAAATTTCCTAACGAGGGTCTAAGGTGAAAACACCAACAAGCTAATAGGAAACACAAAGGGCACAACAGAGAAGAGCCACTCAGCAATGACCAAGAGAAGATCTGCCAAATTAGAGGAAGCACAAGAACCCTTAAATGCTGACAACTCTGGAAATTTAAGGAAGAACTCTAAGTAAATGTTTGATGCTTGATGCTTATGTAGTTTGTTTTGTTCTGTGATATTCGTTGGTCGGCTGAACTAATCATATTTCAAGATAAGAGTGAAGCTTTTATACAGACAAACAGTGCACTTGTCCTACTGTGGAATCAATGGCTTCCAATCGGACATTGCTACCTTCGGGGTCGTTCTTGCAGGCGGAGGTGGTGGGGGAACCACTTTTTTTTCACTGCTAAAAGACACTGGAACCTTTTTCTCACCAGTTAATGCGGCCTCATCTAGATCCAATTTGGTTGATGATAAAGATTGAGGTTTACTGGGCTTGAGTGGCTTCAAAACAGCCGAACTTGGAGTTTGTGCACCACCTGCACCTCTTGAGGGCGATGGGCTTTGGGAAGTCATCGAGTTGCTCGGAGAGAGAGGGGCACTGTCAAACGCTAGACTCCCAAAACGTGTTGGTGTATCTCTTGATGGTAGAGCGGGAACATTTACTGAACGGCTACGATCAGTTGGAGTTTGCGTTCGCCCGGGAATTTGGTTTTTAGACTCATTAACAGACCTTCTCAGCATGGTACCATTGTCCAGTGGTCTGGGCTCTGTTGATGTTTCCGATGTGATAACTCGGCGACTAGCTGGAGGTGGAGGGGGCACTCTTCTTGGAATCGAACTGATCAAAGAGTGTGATCTCATTGGAAGGCTTGGGGGCGCATCATCGAAGTCTAACAAATTCAACTCTGACATTGTTTCGGATTTGAAAGTTGAGCTGGTAGAAGAGCTGGAGGGAGAGCTATTCTCGAAGAGCCCCCCTGGGGGATTTTTGTTTTCAGATTTGTAAGCATTGTAGTACCCTAAAGCCAAGCTTTTTTTCTTTTTCTCATCAACAAATTTAACCTTGCACGTGAACGTCGAGTAAACAGGTTTATGATCACTGAGAAATATGTCCATAACAGCATTGTAGTTGATTGATTTCAACTCACTCCCTTTTTTGCTCCTGAACAAAATTCGGTCTGTCCAAGAAGGCACTCGCTGTTTCTCAGAGGTATCGTAATTTGAAGTACCTTTGTCAAATTTGTACGTGGGGTAAAACAAAATGCGACTCTCCTTAAATTGATGAAAAGGCCCTCCAGTTTCTCCTTTCTCGAGAAGAAGCTGATCAACTTGTTGCATTTCATCAAAAGCTCCATTATTTAATAACTGGCGGCATCTATCGTTTGAAAGATTAAGACGATAATTCAAATCTCCAAACCAAATCACGTTGTCGTGATCATCTATTCTGTAGTTCCGAGTAAAAGAAAGCCCCAGCATGATGGCAGCGTAATCATTGTGTCTTTCAATTGTAGCATTTACCCCAGCAGCGAAGTGAGAAGTTACAAGAGCAAATGAAGTGGCTCCATATTCGAAACGAACGGCACATGCTCCCTTATTTGCGGCAATGCCTCCCATTCCGGTTTTTTTGGAAGAACCCGAAACTTCAGTTACCTGAGAAATTTTTGATTTCTTCACGAAGAAAAAGAGACACATTGAGGCGATGCTCTCTGTTCTCAACAACAAAAATTCTTCACACTGAGAATTGAGCATTTGCTGCAAAATTTTGGCCCATTGGGTTGGCCTAGTATTGTCTGCTGCAAGAATCGAGCCAGCATTTAGCTCGATGATTTCTTGTAATCCAATTGCATAAATATCAGGACACCCCGAAGAGGCATTCTCAGGTGGGAATAACCAGTTTAAAAGCTCTTCGCATGTTCTAGGTGCAGCAGCGTTCACATTATACGTGCCGGTAAACATCGCGATACGGTCATAAGTCGTGAATTCATTTTGGCTTCCAGAAAGTTTTTCTGCCACAAACTCGCTGATGGGATCAAAAATTTGTACAGGTATTGACAAGCGACCGTCTTTTCCAAGCATTCTATCCATGGTATTTTGCTTTTTTGAGTCCACAAATGTGTTCTGATACATTCTGGATACAGATTTTGTGACGTCCGATAGAGCACCTGCTAAATTCATTTTTCCCGAACGCGTGAAGGAAGATTTCAAAGCATTTGTACCGGTGTAAATTTGCGAGATAGCGTCGCCATTATCTGCCCATAATTCATTGTGCTTCGACACAAACTCTTCGGATCTCATTCTATCACGAGTAGATTGTAGCAGGTCTTGATCATGCACGATATGCTCCACCACTGTCTGACAAATGACTTGTTCAATGAGATTTGTACGATCTAAGCAATCAAGACAGTTTACTCTGAACACACCACTCTGTCTCATCATAACCTCTCCATCTCGAGTGTTGTAGTCGTACCATCCAAAACTCTCGAGAGAGTCTCGAAGCAATGACAAAATCTTTGTAGCACCCGCAAAGCCACCATTCAGGGGCTTTGTTTCGGCGTGAAAATCAAATGGGCTATAAAGAAGAGCTTCCCTATGGTCAGAATGGCGGAGTAGCTCCGTGTAACGCCGAGAAATCTCAACCTCCAGGGATTTGCTTTTCGAAAGTAAATTGATGATATGGCAATCACCATACTTATCGCACACTTCAGTGAAGTGCTTGTCAAAGCTAGGTTGAGTTGCTTCTCTAGATCTAGTGACAGTGATCTTTGGGTTTATAAGTGTTGAGTCCTGCTCCCAGAACGCGGGAACAGAGCCACGTATTTGAGTGAATGAAAATACTTGATTTGCGGAAACATGATTGTATATGAATTCCGTTTCAACAAAGTTAGCCACATTTCCATCGTCGTCAATACCTCTAGCATTAAATCTTGTGCCTGCTCTCTTCCAAGATTGTTTGGAAATGATGGATATTGTATCTGAGCGAGAACCTCCAAGGCGTACCGTTTTGGCGAAGCCACGGATAACAGTGGTGAGGAATCTGTTCTCATTTAAAATATCAGCGGCAAGGTCATCGAGGTTTGCTCTAAAGCGGAGTAAGTCTTCCATCAAAAAGCTATTCCACATATACTGCTCTTGATAATGCTGGACATTAATTGTCGAGCGCTCCGTCGAGTCTGCTGCAGGATGGGTGTCTTTCTCGAGCTTTTCTTGATTCACTCCCCTTGCCTGCAATAAGGAAGTCAAGTCGAAGTCATTGGAATAGTAAAACGACCCGTTCGAAAGCAACTTCTTGAAATCAAAGCATGGGTGTGCAACACGAGCAGCGGAAGTCTCGTAATCATCTGAATCTGACGAGAGGGGCACCAGCATGCCATTGGCATCCAAATTTACAAAGTCCCACTCATTAGACGAGAGCGAGAAGAAGTCCACACTGTGAATTTTATCCACCGATTCGTAAGGAAGGGGGCGAGCCACATTTATGGAAGCACCGGTTATAAGAGCCACGTAGATCTGGCCATGTACATTTATAAGGCCCAAACACCCAAACACCTCCCTGTTGAGTAAAGACTTATAGCCGTTTTCTCGGCTTATTTCCTGATTGGCTTGTAAGTGTACTTCTACTTTTGGCTGTTCAGACTTGGATTTGGACGAGCCGCTGATTTGGCGGAACGTGAGGCTATGCGACGAGGACTGCAAAGCTATAGTCCTCGGATTTTCTTTGCAAAGGAGTTTCATCAGCCCGAGAAGTTTTAAATTACCTTATAAAAAAATCCCGAAGAAACGCAGCACCGGACGTTAGGGATTACTCTTAAAAACCGTATCTCCAGTTGCCTTTAGATTCTCAGTGATTTGACGCGGCGCACAGGTTGACTGGACACGCTGAGACCCGGACACCAGGCCGCACTACAAGAATATGAAAAAAATTGGGCGACAATGCTTCTCATAAAGCAAGGACATCACTTATTTATCATGGCTACCACATACCAGCTCACTTTGTCGGACGAGTCCAAGGAGAGAATCATGAAGGTTTTGGGATACTCCAGGACCATCGCACACTATGGTTTTATCCCTTTCATCTTGTACTTGGGATGGAAGTCTACTCCAAGCAAGCCCTCTTTGTTCAGTTTGCTCAGTCCTTTCCCATCTGCCTAAACCTTTGTACATATCAATACACCTCAAGAAGATTTTGCGGCTTCCGCTGCTGTAGTTTCATTTCCATAAATAAGCCTACGTTGGAGTTATGACCATTCGGACTCCCTAGAATTCGCAGACTTGGACAGGCTGCACTAGTCTTCTGCAAGAGTCTGCTATTGGACCTTGCTGGGTTATTTAGAAATTTCATTCTAGACCATTCTTTTTAGCATATCATACCATTCTTTTTTCTTCGTTCATTAGGTACAAACCGTGCATGTTGTTCAGCTTCTTTTTTCTACGCATTCATAGTTGAGAAGAGTAGCCTGCGATTTCCGATACCAACCTACACTACCCGGATAACCCGCCAGACGGTCACACTCCGCAGTAGTTTATTGCGTTTGTCCCGTGTTTTATAATGAACTCTTCGCCATGGGCCCCCAGACAAATCGAAGTCGTTTCTGGGCTCTTTGCAGGGTTCTCGAATACCATAGTCACACAGCCTTTGGATCTACTAAAGGTGCGTCTCCAGCTATCCACCAAAGCTACCTCACAGCCATTTGAGTTGCTACGCTTCGTTATTCGGCAGATACATCAAGACGCCTCAATGGCTCACAAAGCCCACAATGGAAAAAGACCATTTTCTTTGTTTCTAGCACAACAATACTACCGGGGAGTGGGACCCAACTTGTTTGGCAATGTGTCTGCATGGAGCCTTTATTTCACGTTGTACGCGGAATTCAAAAGAATCATGGCCAATAATGAGGGGGATGTGTCTTACTTTGGAGCATCAGCTCTAGCTGGTGCCACTCTGGCTGTCATCACTAACCCTATATGGCTTCTCAAAACTCGTATATTGAGCACATCCGGCCAGCAGGAGAATTCTTACCGGTCTTTGTTCGATGGCGTGAAGCAAGTCATAAGAAAAGAGGGAGTGTTGACACTTTGGAAAGGGACTGTTCCAAGCTTATTCCTGGTATTACAAGCAAGTCTCCAATTCTCGTTCTATGACCATACGAAAGACTATTTAATGAGAGCCCTGGGATCCGAGGACCTTTCTGCATCACAATTTATTTTTGCCTCGGTGATGTCCAAAATCACCAGCATGTCTTTACTATATCCAACACAAGTGATTCGATCTAGAATTCAGAGCTACAATCCAAATAACGAAAACCGAGATATTGTTGGAGTCACCAAGAAAATCTGGGCCTCAGAAAGAAGACTTAAAGGGTTTTACAGGGGGCTTTCTACCAATTTAATTCGTGTTCTCCCGTCCACCTGCATTACCTTTTTGACTTACGAAACGACCAAGAAATATCTAGCGAGCTAAATACAACGCAACAAGATACCGGCTATACGCGCGGGGATTCTATAAGTCTAAATATGTCATGGTGTGCGCAAAATTGTAATATATTTATTTTCGAAACAAAATAAGACGTAACTCTGCGGACAGAAATTGATTACATGATGACGCCATGTATAGCATAGGTTGTGATGGATTGATCACCAGAGTAAACCTGACAAAATGCGAAAGTAAGCTTGTGGTTCTTCTCAATGCACCGTGTGATGAGACCCGACGCGTCTAACCAAATCCACCGCGAGTTTCTACAGTATTGCAAAACCATCCTTGGAAGTTGCATTACGCACGCCTTTCCCGAAGAGAAATCCCGATAATTGAATCATGCCGGAGCCAGTGATTAAGAAGAGGAAAGTGGAAACTGATACCGAAGCGGAATGCCTACCAGAGGGAAATACTATAGTCTGCGATGACGAGATTTTAACACAAAAGTGGTATCCGGTGACAGTAACTTCGATCAAGGATAAGTTTTCGTATGATAGCAGCACATACCATTCAGCAATTCCAAAAGTTATTGAAGAGAACCCTAATCAGTCTATTGTACTTGGTGTGGACGAAGCTGGACGCGGTCCTGTCATGGGACCGATGGTATATGGTATATCGTACTGCTTGGAATCATACCATAACGACTTGAAAACCCGATACGGCTTTGCAGATTCCAAGATTTTGAAAGACGCCGTTCGAACAGATTTGTTCAAGTTGTTGCACGACGAGAAACACGAATTGTTCCAGAACGTAGGCTGGGCCACATGCACCATGACCGCAAAGGACATTTCCAATGGCATGCTTCGAAGCGTTCTAGGCGCAGGATCGTACAACTTGAATGAGCAAGCACACGACACCACGATTCTGCTAATAAAAGACGTTCTAAAGTCGGGTGTCAACGTGAGTAAGATTTTTGTGGACACGGTTGGTCCGCCAGCGAGCTATCAAGCCAAGTTGCAGAAACATTTTTCTGGCATCGAAATCACAGTAACAAAAAAGGCCGACAGCATCTACCCAATTGTCAGTACCGCATCCGTGGTGGCCAAAGTCACCAGGGACTTGAATCTTCATTGGTACAACGAAAACGTCGAAATACTCAAAGGACAGGTAATTGGCTCTGGGTATCCGTCAGACCCAAACACAAGTAGATGGCTCAATAGTGACGTGGACAAAGTGTTTGGGTGGAATCACGGGCTTGTGCGGTTTCTGTGGCAAACAGCAAAGGACAGCTTGGTCAAGAGAGGTGGCGTGCCGGTGGTATATGAGGCCGAATGTGTGAAGGATAAGGGCTACAAAGACATTGGTCAGATGTTTGTGCCTCCCAGCGATATTTTGATTGATGCGCTGTTTTACGGCCACGATGTTGTGTTGTAGGTGGAAAGGGTGTCGGACATGAGATCGCCCCTGGTGTTGCGGCTCACCACAACAGGGGCTGTTTTCTTAATGCAAATCACCAGTTGAAGCCAAATAGGCTTATTCAAAACAATAGTTTTGTCATTTCTGTTTGGCCGTGACGGAAGTACAGCTGCTACTTGATTGCTTTGGGACAGATGCGAGCATCCTGATGGAAACACTCGAGCACGTAAGCACATGCATAGGAATACTAGTCATACCGAGTGTAAGCTCAAATACACCGAGGTCATTTAGACTACAAGTTGTGGTTGCTTTCCCGATTCTTTTGCAGACCTTTTCCCCAGCCCGTAAGCCAGCCCCGTTGCGGGTGCATCGTAGTCGGGGGAGAAGCGCAGAAACATAGCAGGATACAGCGGAAGGCACGGAAGAGAGCAGGACAGATTAGACGCGCGAGGAACAGATAAGCAATATAGGAGAATGTCATGATAGTAAACAAAGGAGTGTGGTGGAGATACACAGAATAGTGAGCATGAGGGGGCATGAGAGAGTATAGGAGAGTATGGGAGAGTATCGGAGAGTAACGTAGATTGTGGCAGGACATCATAGGCAGTAGTAGAGTATGGTAGAGTATAGTGCGGTATACAGCGTAGTAGAGTATAATAAATTATACTACAGTATAGTAGAATGTAGTAGGGCATAGAGAGATAAAGTACATTATAGCGAAGTATAGTACACTATAGTGGAGTTTAGTGGAGTATAGTGGAGTAAAGTGGACTATAGAACAGTATAGAACAGTATAATGGAGCATAGTGGAGTATAGTCGAGCATAGTGGAATATAGTCGAGTGAAGTAGAGTATTATACAACATAGTAGGGTATAATAAAATATAGTAGAATTCAATAGATTATAATTAAATGTAGTAGAGTATAGTAGGGTAGAGTAGAGTAGAATTAAATATTGTAGAGTATAGTGAAGTATAGTAAAGTAGAGTAGGGTACAGTGGACTATGAAATAGTACAGTATAGTGCAGTAGAATAAATTATAGTTTAGTGTAGTGGAGTGTAATAAAATATATGCAATGGTAGGGTATAATGAAATAAAGTACAGTGTAGTGAAGTATAGTACAGTAGAGTAAAATATGATATATTATAGTTGAGTAAAGTAGATTACATTGGAGTATGGAGTATAATAAGATATAGTGTTGTATGGTGAATTATAATAAAAATCAGAGTCTAAAAAAAATACTAGAGCCAAATGGATACAGTGGGCTTAAATGAAATATAGTAGGATATAGTAAACTATGGTGCAGTATAGTAAACTATGGTGCAGTATAGTGGAGTATAATAGAGTACAGTGGAGTAAAGAACAGTATAATACAGAATAATAAAACATAATGTAGTAAAGTAAATATAGGTAAGATACTAGTGTATAATAGAGCACAGTAGGGTATAATGAAATATAGTAGAGTATAGTAAAGTATGGTACAGTATGGTAAAGTACAGTGTAGTAAAGTACGGTACAGTATGGTTTAGTATAGTGGACTATAGTAGAGTACAGTGGAGTAAACAGCAGTATAGTACAGTATAATAAAGCACAATGTATGGTCATTATAATAAAACTCGGAGTCTAGTAAAATATTCTAGTGTATAATAGAACACAGTAGGGTATAATGGAGTATAGTAGAGTATAGTAAAGTATGGTACAATATGGTACGGTATAGTGAAGTATAGTAGAGTACAGTGGAGTAAAAAGCAGTATAGTACAGTATAATAAAACATAAAGTAGTATAGTGACTACAATAGAATTCAGAGTCTAGTAAAATATTCTAGTGTATAATAGAATACAGTAGGGTGTAATGAAGTATAGTACAGTATAGTAAAGTACGGTAAGTTTGGTACGATCTAGTGAAGTATAGTAGAGTACAGTGAAGTAAAAACAAGTATAGTACAGTATAATAAAACATAAAGTAGTATAGTGACTACAACAAAAACCAGAGTCTTATAAAATATACTTGAGTAAAATGGAATATAGTAGGGTGTAATGAAATATAGTAGAGTATAGTAAAGTACGGTACAGCATGGTATAGTACAGTATAGTAAAGTATGGTACAGTATGATAGTGAAGTATAGTAGAGTACAGTGGAGTACAGTGGAGTAAACAGCAGTATATGACAGTATAATAAAACACAATGTATAGTGACTATGATAAAAATCAGAGTCTGGTAAAACATTCTACAGTACAATAGAACACAGCAGCGTATACTGAATCTTAGTGGCATAGAGCAGAATGAGGTATAATAAATACAGTCCAGTGTGACATACAGAGTACAGCACAGTATACCAAACACCAGAGAGTATAATAAAAGTTAGCCACCACAGATAGCACACACCACAGATAGCACACACCACAGATAGCACACGCCACAGAGTACCAGAACCCACCGGAAACACCCGAAAAAAAACCACAGAGCACCGCCTCACCATCAACCCAAGGCCGGGCCAGGCAAACCATCCATGCGCCCACCGGCCCTGGGCTCGCCCTGGAACCTTGCCCCAGGCCGCGCGCCCGGTGCAGTCGCGGTCTGCACCTGGCCGGACATTCATCCCCGACGGACGGAAGACAACCATGCGATGATGGATTCCTGTACGGCCGGGCCTGTCCCAGCCTTCACCTTAAGTGCGGGCAAAACACCTCCGGCGCCCCCTCCATATCTTCCCACACCACCACCCCACCACCATGTCTGCTTTGTTCGCTCGCACCGCCGCCGTCTCCGTGCGTGCCATGGCTGCCCAAAACTCCAGACACTACCTCGCGTCGTCCTTCTCCTTGCAGATGGCCAGATTGTACTCGTCCGGCAACTTCCCCTCGCACGTGGTGATCAAAATGCCCGCGTTGTCGCCCACCATGACCCAGGGCGGGATTGCCTCGTGGTCCAAGGCCGTTGGCGACGAGTTGACGCCCGGCGAGCCCATTGCCGAGATCGAGACCGACAAGGCCTCCATGGACTTCGAGTTCCAGGAGGAGGGCTACTTGGCCAAGATCTTGGTCGACGCCGGAGCCCAGGACGTTCCTGTGGGCAAGCCCATTGCCGTGTACGTCGAGGACAAGGCCGACGTGGGTGCGTTTGATGGCTTCACGGCGTCGGACGCCGGCGAGGGCGAGGCCCCTGCTGCCGCACCCAAGGAGGACGAGCCCAAGAAGCAAGAGCCCGCCGAGACGCCCGCCGCCGCCTCCGAAAAGCCCGCCAGCCCCGCCAAGGCGCCTGCCAAGGCGCCGGCCGGCAGGATCTTGGCCTCTCCGTTGGCCAAGACCATTGCCTTGGACAAGGGCATTGCGTTGAAGAACATCAAGGGCTCGGGCCCCAACGGCAGAATCGTGGCCAAGGACGTCGAAAACTACAAGGCGCCCGAGGCTGCGCCTGCCGCCGCCGCCGCCGCCGCCGCGCCCGCCGCCACGTTCCAGGATATCCCCATCACGGGAATGAGAAAGACCATTGCGTCCAGATTGTTGCAGTCCACGCAGCAGTCGCCCTCGTACATCGTCCAGTCGCACATCAACGTGTCCAAGTTGATGAAGTTGCGCCAGTCGCTCAACTCCACTGCCGAGGACAGATACAGGTTGTCCGTGAACGACTTGTTGATCAAGGCCATTGCCTTGGCGTCTTTGAGAGTGCCCGAGGCCAACTCCGCTTGGATGGCCGACCAGGGCATCATCAGACAGTACAACGTCGTGGACGTGTCGGTGGCCGTTGCCACGCCCGCCGGCTTGATCACGCCAATCGTCAAGAACGCGCACACCAAGGGCTTGGCTGCCATCTCCAAGGAGATGAAGGCTTTGGGCAAGAAGGCGAAGGACAACAAGTTGTCGCCCGAGGAGTACCAGGGCGGCACCATCTGCATCTCCAACTTGGGTATGAACAACGCCGTCAACGCATTCACGTCTATCATCAACCCCCCACAATCGGCCATTGTCGCCATTGGTACCGTGGAGAAGAAGGCCGTTCCGTCGTCTGTCAACGAGCAAGGCTTCGTGTTCGAGGACTTCATCACCATCACCGGCACCTTCGACCACAGAACCGTCGACGGCGCCAAGGGTGGCGAGTGGATCCGCGAGTTGAAGAAGATCGTCGAGAACCCGTTGGAACTCATGATCTAAGCTTGGAATCGTCCCCCGCATTTACCATAGAATAATACGAAGGAATCTGGTTGCTAGGCTGTGCCTGACGAGCGCCGGGCCGCTCTATTCGTAGTGTGAAAAAACAACTTTGCTAGTTCTTTTTTTCTGATGGCATGGCTGTCTTCGTAGCTCCACCACGCCTGCACCACCTACTGAGGAAATGACGGGTATTTCTCATTGGAGTATTATTAAACTGCTAAGGAGGGTTCAAGAGGTCTTTTTCTACTTTTACTCCTTATAGGGAGAATACATCTTGGTGTTGCACTTGGCATCAATCTGCTGAACGAGTTTTGACATGATGTGCAATGTACATTCGCCTAGAGTCATGGACTCACGTTTGGGTGAGGCCAGGTCCAATCTCTGGGACAGCATCTGGTCGCGCCTTTGTCGCAAGGTCAGCCAACAAATACCATACATCCATCCCTAGGATGTCAGAGCCATATATAGTCAAACAGGCCTTTTCGAAGAAAAAAAAAAAAAAAACAAGAACAATTGGATATTTCATGTTTGGACCCAAGAGGGCAGCTTCGAGTCGAATGCACAATAAGTTCTGCCCCAGCCGCGTTATCTTGCTATGTTTACTGCAGGCCAGGTGCGAAGTCTCGTCCGCCAAAACAGCCGGTGGTTGTGTCTAATCAAGCCTTCTTCTCACCAAAAGACGTAAGATGGCGGTCAGCACAATTCTCATTGCCCGTCATGGCTATAGATCAAACTGGTTACCTCCCCCACATCCCCCAAACCCCACGGGCATTGACAGTGATCCTGTGTTGGCTCCACATGGAGTCGACCAGGCCATCGAATTGTCGCAGTATTTGGGATCGCTTTCTGAAAATGACAGGCCCCAGTTTATTGTGTCTTCCCCATTCTACAGATGCGTGGAAACATCCCAGCCCGTGGCCCGTGCTCTTGGCTTGAAGGTTGCCATCGATAGAGGGGTGGGCGAATGGTTCAAAACAGACAGAGGCGTGGTGCCAATTCCAGCCGATTATGCTCGGCTCGGCCAATTTTTCCCCGAGGTCATTGCCAGCGAAGCAACGTGGGCAGGCTCTGGGGTGATACCTTCGTATAAGGGGGAAACCCCCGATGACATCTTCCGCAGATGCCAGCAATTTTGTGCTGAGTTCTTGCCAAAATTCGAGGCGCAATACCCTGATGTATCCACGCTTTTGATAGTGACCCATGCTGCCACCAAGATTGCGCTCGGCATGTCTCTTTTGAAACACAATTCTGTGAACGAGGAGATAACGTTCGGCGGCGAAAAGACAAAATTGCGTGCCGGAGCCTGCTCTCTAGACAAGTATGTCCGGGAACGGGAATCGTGGGTCCTCAAGGAAAATGGCCGCACGGACTTCTTGAAAGACGGCGAAGAAATGAACTGGAATTTCGATGTCAAGTTTGAAGCCGGCTCTGATGAGGACATCAAGGCTAGAAACGAAGCTGCCAAGCTCGCAGAGCTGTCAGAGTCCCCATCTAAAATAGATCCCGAAACAGAGGAGGAAGCATACGAGGTACGTAATCAGAACTAATAGACAGTCTTCCTTCCCCGAGAATCAAGAAACTTTGGGTTTGCCGAATTGCCTCATGCTTGTCAATCTTTTTTTCTTCCCGTCTGCATTTTCTCATGATTCCACATACTAACAATGAAGGACCTATATTTTGCAATCGATGTGCCTGTTGTGGCACCTTCCTTCTATGACGAGCTGCACCGAGACAATAATAGAGAGAGAGACGGGCTAAGTGACCAGTTGCTCATCAACCCTAATGCAAAATTACAGATCACAGAACTAGACCACGAAACACCGCTCTACAAGATATCAGACAATGCAAATGTAGCGGCAGATCCTGAAAGCATGCTTTTCAGTAACTTGAGCGCGATCGATGGGCAGATTTACAAGACTAATTGGAGTCGACTACTAGGAACTGAGTTGATTTTTGACGAATACGGGGAATTGGTAGGCACCGTGAGAGAGCATCTTGTTACTGACACATCAGTGAAGGTCAAGTCGAAACCGTCGGATAAGGAAGCCAACAGTCAGACCGAAACAGATACAATGGATAATTCGGACCTGAAGACTGCTTTTTTGAAGAAAGCAATGGCGGCGGCAAGATCGAAAAACACTTGAGATGACTTATATCCTGGAGCAAGAATTTGCATGATCCTGGTTCGATCTTTTTAGTCAGTAGATCTTGTATTTTCGTGAATTTGTTTTGCAATTCTCAAGATTCTAAGATGATTTTGCGTTTAGGACTGATCTGTTATAAATGTTTGGTCGTGAGTCAAAAGCGCGGTCAACGATACGCGGCGCATCATTACAACTGGTTCTTCTAAATATCAGATTCGAATTTATGTTAAGCCATGTGGTCCTCAGATTCACTTCAACAACTACAAACCTATGAGTTCATCCTTGGTTCCTCGTCCCCTAGAAGAGCCGAAATCCTTAACTCAAATATCGGTGTTACGAAATACACTATCATGACATCCTCATTTGAGGAAAACCTACCCAAAAGCAAAATCTCCGATGTGGAGTATGTGACCTCCACTGCACAGCACAAAATCCCGAGTATTATTTCACAGCTAGAAACAAGCAAAGACTATGTGTTGTTGGTTGCAGATACCATAGTATCTTGTGGGGGTAAAGTGTTTGAGAAGCCTGTATCGCCAGAAGACCAGTGGGCCATGCTTTCACACTACCGCAATCATTTCTCCGATATAAGGGTAATCACTGCAGTGCATGTGTGCCGCGTATCTGGTGGTCAAATTGTGTGTCATGAATTTGGGCATGAGATAACCGCCTTGGAATTTGATGCTAAGCTTACAGATCTGCAGTTGCATTATTACATTGCGACTGGTGAAGGCTCTAATGTCGCTGGAGGTTTCAAGTACCAGGAAAAGGGAAGCATGCTTTTTGTTGGCCTAAGCGGTGATTATTTCAATGTTGTCGGACTCCCCGTCAAAAAAACACATTCCCTTTTGACGAAGGTTTTGTAGCTATAATTGTTAACTTATGCGGTATAGACAATTGTTGGATTTTTTTAACACAACAGAGCCTTAAAAATGCACACAAATAACTGCCCCAGAAAATTGAAGATAACTATTTGCAGTTCCTATATAAACTAGATTTTGTGCTTGCATTTGTCTTTTACTGTGCTCTTGCTGTGCGGAATAAATATGTTTGATTTGGTTGACCATCAGGATAATGCACCTGCTACATGCACTGCCTGCACACCACCCCAGGCCATTTTTTTCCTCGATGAGATGGATTTAGATTCGAGGTACCTTCATCTTGCGTATATCAGAAATGGCCAAGAAAAACTCAAACGTCCCCAAGGCGCTGCCTGTAGAGGCTGTGCAGAAATCAGAAGAGCTTTCTTTAGAGAATACTCCTGACTCCGCCTCCAGCTCCGAAGGAGATTCAGAGGACTTCTCCTCCGATGAGGACATCGATGTCCAAGGTCTTGAGGAAGAACTGACAACCAAGAAGTCAGCACACACAGTCAAGCTCACCAAGGAGAGTAAAAAGAGCGAGGGCAAAATTGATGCTGCTAAACAGAGAGCTGTCATCTATGTCGGAAGACTTCCCAAACTGTTCGAAGAGAAGGAAATGAAGAAATACTTCTCTCAATTCGGAGACATCACAAGAGTGAGAGTCTCAAGAAACAAGGTCACTGGAGCCTCAAGACATTATGCCTTTGTGGAATTCAAAGACCTTCATGCCGCTCAAGTTGCTGCTGAGACGATGAACAACTACCTTTTGGTTGGCCATTTGTTGAAGGTGCACCTTGTCGAGAATCCAAAAGAGAACCTCTTTTCTAAAAACATGAAGTCTTCGTTTAGAGAATTCGATTGGAGGGCCAAGGAGTACGAGCAGCAGAATGCACCAAAGCCATTGGAGACGTGGAAGGAGTTACAAAAGAAGTACGAGGAGTCCAAGAAGCAGAAATTTTCTGAATTGAAGAAGCTCGGTTTCGACTATGCTCTTGAAGCGTAAATCTGTATATTAAGTAAATTGCATAAAAAATTTGACGATCCATGAAATACCTCGTAGTACAGGTACTGCAGTGGCTATGTTGCAATTGGGTAGCTAGAAGAGAAGCGCAATGATCACATGACCTGCCAGTCACAAACCTCACTCCTTCAAACGAAAACCACCTATAGCATGGCTCAAAGAAAGCAAAGGTCAGTTTCGGAAGAGCTGCGCGTTTATGATTTCCCACAGAATCTATATACCTTAAATGCAAACTTCAAGTCCTCATTCTTTAAGCCGGTTCCTGAGAGTGTGGTTGAGAATCAAATCATCACCATCGAACACTTCTTCACGGACGAGTTTTGCAATGAGTTGATTACGGATTTTTCCAACAAACTTACCTTAGAAACCACTCCCCTAATCAAGAGTAGGGAATACGCAGCGCGTCATAATGACAGAGTCTCTGTCACGTCTTTACCGGCTGCTGATGCATTGTGGAAATATTTAAGGTCTGTGTTGATGGAAGTCCCTCAATATGATGCCTCAGAGCTGGACCTGATAAGACAAATATTCAAAAACGCGAAAAGTCTTAACCCTCAATTGCGTATTTATAGGTATATAAAAGGACATCACTTTGGCAAACACTATGATGAATCTGTCTCTTGTCCTCTCGCACACGATGCAAAGATCAAAGGTAAGACCAAGTGGACTCTTCTCATCTACTTAACAGGAGACGACGAATTCTCTGGCGGTGGCACAATTTTTCATCCTGAGATTCGAGACTCAATGCCTCTTAATATTCACCCAAGTAAAGGAATGGCACTTTTACATAAGCACGGAGATGATTGCTTGAAGCATGAAGCAGAGATTGTCCGAAGTGGAGTGAAATGGGTTTTGAGATCAGATGTCACATATTGACTGTAAACGCTTGTCAAAGTGGACATTAATAAACTCTTCCAACAATGCCAGAATTAGAAAAGGCAGTATTGCGGTCCTTTTGTACTACTAAGGTTTGCACGTATCGATTACTGGAACTATGCTCGTGAAAAGTTTTGGCTTTGAGATTTGAGTTCTTAGCTCCCTATTTTCACATATTATAACCTGAAACTGGTATTTGTCTGTCTTTTCATGGGTTTACAAGTTGCTCTCTCTAATCATTTTGCGGTAGCCTGCCAAGACCTCCTCATTGGTGCATGAGCCACCACAGACAATGACAACGACTATGTCATCTTTGCTCAACTGATGAAGAGAGTTCGTCAAGAATGAAAGGTGATTGTAGACGACCGTCATAGCAGCACCACATGCGGGTTCCACTAGAGTACCAAAATCATTGTAATAAGAAATGGCTGCCTTTATAGCATCAAAATCATCCACAGTTGTAAGATGACTTTTGTTCACAGACTGATCCTGGAAAAGCTCAAGAGTGGGCTGCGAAACATATGAGCAAGCAAGGGAAGTAGCTAAAGACTTAACTGAGTCAAGTTTTACAACAGATCCTTTCTCGACTGCCTTGGTAAGTGTGGGGGCCTGTTTGGTTTCTACCAAAAGACATTCGGCCGTGGATTTGTTCAGTTTTAAGCCCGTCATAATACCATTATAAAGGCCTCCGCCACCCACAGAGCATGCTACACCTTTGACCTTTTTAAAGTCTGATTCTTCTAGCTGGGAAAAAACCTCATCCATAATTTCTGAGTGGCCTTGCCAAATCAAAGGGTTGTCGAATGGATGACAATAAATAGTATGTGTCTCTTTGTCGCATGAAGCCATCAATTGACGCGCATGTATGTCTGCTTCACCAATAGAATTTCCAAATAACACCACCCTACTCCCGAATGATTTAAGTTTCTCGACAACATGTGGCATTGAGTTCACAGGCACAACGACGGTGCATTGGACGTTGTAGAAGTTGGAGGCATATGCTGCCGCAAGACCAGCATTGCCGCCACTGGATGCAAAAACATGTATTGAAGAAGAAGTCTGTTTAGCAGCATCTTGGAGTGATTTCTGAATCAATCTTCCTATGCCACGAAGCTTAAAGCTACCAGAAGGTTGCTCAAACTCATTTTTGAATAAAATGCGGCATGGCAAATCGTTCCTCTTTTCCAAGACTTGAGTCACATCCACGAGGGAAGTAGTAATAGAAGGCTTTTGGATGCGAAATTTGTTATTAGGTGTTGGAAGCTCTTGGAGACAGTCTTTTGGGGATTGAATAGAGATTGAGACAGACAGCATTTTTTCTTCAGAGTTTTGAGAAGAATAACAGCTGTTTGAAAAGAATAACAGCTGTTTTTTTCTTCAAATTTCCGTGAACTTAAATACTTTGCGGAAAACATAACGTCTATTTCCCGGAATTACATTTCCGCTGGACTTTACGGAATTATAATTCCTCCTTGAATATTTGACGAGCCCCAACTCAAACAGGAAACTACTCACCACCCCTCATTTCATTCTTAATGCATTAACGTGAGTATGCTAAGTTGCTTCAACTTCACAAAGACAAACTCAATTGATATACTCAACTACAGCTAATCATTTGGCCAAGAATTGCGCTTAAATTACATATAAACGTTTGGTATAGACTAGAGAAATTGACGCTTTCAGAGAATCCAATTGTTTTGCATAGAAGCCAAATAATTTAAATTTCAAATCACAACTTTTTAAAAGCCTATTAATCTAGCATAAGGAAAAAGGGATGAAGTATATTAAGGGAAATGCGCTTCAATAATGGTCTTCCCAAAAGTTTGTCGCAAAAAAATATATAATACAAAACATTTACCGGGTTAAGTTTTTTTTTATTCCATAGAAAATTCAATCAGACCACAAGGGAATGAAAGCCATGATAATACTACACCGGCCTATACACTTCACTGGTTATTTGACTTTCTGCTTTAATGCATCAGAAAAAAAACATGGGTCACGTGTTGATCTAGACCCATGTTTGATCATACCGTTCGCAACTGATCTACTAGTCGAATAACCGCCTCATTGATAATATTCGAACACCAAACCTAAATATATTTATTTTACTATGGCATCACCGATCTTTATATCAAACCCACCGCCGGGGTTTTCATTTCTTGCAATTTTGCGGGGCATACAATTAGCAATCTTAGGTGCATATCGCTCGCTACAAAACCCCAAGTTGTTTGAGTCCAGATACTACACTCATGCTATTTCAGCAATTAAATACTCAATACTAATACAATTGGTACTTTGGAGCCCGATTGTCTGTCTTCGTGTGCTCGCCAATTTTCTTGGACTTTTTGTCAATCTGTCTCTTGCTGAGAGTGCCGCAAACTCGTTGAAGTATTTACAGTTCAACCTACTCAATGTGGGGGTATTTGCTATCTCAGCATCTAGGTATTTTGGCCAGCTGTTAGACACGCTATTCTTGTCAAGTTTAGAGTTTATTGATTCAGTGTATCTCGAGAAGCATCAAGATCATCAATCCCAGCGTTTTCATCTGAACTTGGTTGAATTGTCTGTGGATACTATAAAACCACCTACACCCGGCCTTCCCACTTTGCAAACCTTGAAGAAACTCTATTCAAGCTCCCAAGAGTTTTCTGTCTTTGTCAAGAGGCATCTAAAAAAAGCATTTCTTAACATCATTGTCTTTTTGTTGAGCGAGCTTCCATACGTCGGAGCGGTCATTATTGGGTTAATGTCCTTTCAGAATTTAAATAATAAAATTGGCACGGAACGAGCTGTAATTATTTTTGGAATTTTACAAGTGATTCCTAAAGAATATTCGGTTGCATTTTTTACTATATTCTATGGCTCTCGTAGCATGGTACATGATCTCTTGCTACCATACTTCGCAAGAGTTCGTTTCACAAGCAGGGAAAAGGAACATTGGCTCAAAGCTAGAGAGGGTGTTTTGTTTGGCTTTGGACTATGCTTTTTCTCTCTAATCCGGTATTTCCCTTGGGTGGGGCTCTTAATATATGGCTTGGCTGAAACTTCCGTCGCATATTTAATTACGAAGGTTTCAGACCCGCCACCAAATCAGGTCAGCCAGCTAATTCACTGGAACGAGACTCAGTTGGTTTGGAACAAGGAAAAGGAGCAAAACATTCTCTCCGGCACTTTTGTCAGTGGCGAGGAAGGCTACAACCCCATTCCGGGATCATTCATATTTACATAGCATCTGCATTTGCATTAAAGTTTAAAGTCCTACCTTCATGTCGAAGGTTCTTGTACCAGTATAGATACAAAAATCGAGACATCCAAACATGATACTCAAGATGTTGGATTCATCCCTTCTTGCTGACATATAATTGTGATTTTCGAGCTCATCCATCTTATTGCTCAAGTCTAAGATAGGAAGCAAGGTCATGTCACAACGAGGCCAGCTATGTTTTGATGACGACATCACCGTATTTAAGGATGAGATGACTTCTTGCTCTGATGTTTCAAACATTTCTGTACAAAGATCCGTAGAAATTGTGAGCTTCACACGCTCAGGTATGGGAAGCTCCGTAGGTGTCATATCTGATTGACGCAAAACTGAGCGATACGTGCTCAAAAAAAAAGAATCAAGACTTGAGTCGAGTGTTTTAATGAGCTGCGCACTGGCCCATAACACCACTATTGAAGCCAATTGTGTTCGAATCTTTGTGGAAATGATGTCTTGCTCCCCCGCAATCACCTCAAGCTCCTGGTTGATTATATCATATGACCGTCCATTCTGTGTCTTAATTCCCCGCAAGGATTTTGCGAGCGATACATTGAGAAGGTAGTGTTTTTGCAACTTATTAATTTTCGAGTTTTCTCGAAAATTTTCAATTATGCTCTGGCGAAGATCTGATTTAGGAGTGACAGAAAGGCTGATGCTGCTTGGTTCCTCGAATTTAGACATTTTCCATTGTCTAAGCTTTGATATATAATCATTAGAGGCGTCCTCAATGCCGTCTCTAACACCTTTATTGATGGGTGGGAATTTGTCTTTTTCACAAATGATCACAGAACTCAAATATGATAGCGCTGACGCCTCATGAGTATGCTCAAGATCGTAGATCGGGGCAATACCCTTTATTGGCACGAAGCCCACGTTAAATTCTTTTCGAGACTTGATTGTATGGGTTATCACGTTTTTTGGTGTCAAACTGTAAACTACAGCCGCAAAACCACTGGAAAGCAAGGGTAAAAAGCCGTGGACGGCAATTTGGCCTTCCATAGCATCGACAAGGTAAGGCAGAAATGCTTTTGACAGCGCTTTATTTTGCTCCTTCTGTAGCTGAGCTTGATATTTGTGCAACGTTTGATGGTGAAAGGCCTCCCATACCGATGATTGCTTAAACATTTCAACGTCTCGGGAGGAGAAATTGATCTTAGCCACGGAAAAACAACCGCTTTCGAAAGGCAAAAGCACAGTGGTATGAGAATCACTGTCAATTGTCGAGAGATTGACAAGCATAGAATTATAAGGGAGTGGGGTAGAGACACACGGAAATTCAAGGGAGCCGACGTAAAGCGCCGCTGTATCTGTTATTATCAAGAATTTGCGCGAGTCATGAAACTGAATATGCGAGACAAGAAAACGAGAGGCCAGTTTTATTTGAGTTGGACCAGTTTGAAGCTTTAGATTGACATCAAATTTACAGCCCCAAACAGAGTTATCTCTGAGAACATAATATAGTTCCGAGCCCGTAGAAGACCAGATCAATTTCACGGCCAAATCTTCAGTTACGACTCGTTGTGCTTGCGGTAGTTTGTCCGTGAGGTGATGAATGGTGATGGCTTTTGATTCGTGGGCCAAAACCAAAATCAAGGATCCATCCGGGGCTTTGCCGAACGAGAAGGCAGTAACCTTTAGCTCCAGAAACTGGTCTCCCGTCAAGATGATATCGCCCTCACTCGTGTGTCGATTTGGCAGTAGCGACATCTGATCTAGGATACAGCTAAAGCTGCGATACTTCATGGAGTAGTTATTGGCATCTAAGGAGTCGCGCTTCAACACCATCATCTCGCCAGTATTGAGCAAGACACCCAAGTAACAATCTCGAGTACACAGCTCAATGGGCGACCACGCGTGTCCGACAATCATAGGCTCAGATATGCGGCCGAAGTTGAAAATGTTTTCACTGTCCTCAATGATGATCCGCGAGAATACCTGGAACCCCAAGGACTCCAAACTTTCGATGTGAAAGGTGGAGCGCACATCGAAAAACGCGGTGGGGTCTATGGTAGATGGGTCGCCCTCAACAGCTGGGGGCTCAATGCAACAATGAAGAAGTGGGAGCTTGGGCTCAAGGATAGTGATGTGATTCGAAGTGTTAATGGCAAGTTGCATGTTTTCTGAGCACTTCACCGGTTCCAAAATCCCGTTGCCAATGGTGGCTCTCAGAACATTGATCAGCCGCATTTTAGAAAGACCAGGCAAAAGACAAGAAGCTGTGGTGAGTGAAAGAAGAGAGAACTCTATACACTTTTGTTCCCCGGAAAAAGGATCCGTACACTATACTGAAGTGTTTTCGGGAGGATGTGCGTTCTGCGTGTACGACAGCGCACCATAGAAACAAACTATACCGGAGTATTTAGAGTAAAGCGCGGTGCAGTATAACAAAGCCAAGGCGCGGCCCCGCCACAGTCGAAAGGGCTAGACGCGATTTTTGAGAAGGATATGGCCGTCTCGCCGGTCTGAGCAAAGATCAAACGGAACTGAGATAAAAAATCAGCATTTAAAGGAACCTGAACCTAATCGTAATTTACCCAAAAAAAAGAGTGAAGGATGCGAGGTTCGAACTCGCGCGGACAAACGTCCAGATGATCTTAAGTCACCCGCCTTAGACCACTCGGCCAACCCTCCAGTTATAAAAATTTCCTCAGGAAAACAAACTACAGCACGTAAAATGAACGATCAGATTAATGTAGTAGGACGCACTGGAAGACATTTTTTGCTATATTTCACATTAAGTTCTTTTGCATAGATTGGGTGGTGAATTACGAGGCACTAGGCATGAATCTACGTAAACAGATACGTGACAAAAAAAAAAAGATACGTGCCATGAGGACTGTCCAGGCCGTGACTAACGGAAGGGGACGGGCCGAGCTAAGACACTTGGTACGTAGCTGGGAGCTGTTTAAAGGTTTTTTATATATATTCGTTATATAGTTTTGCCCCTTTAATCAGATGAAACTACCAAGAGCACATGTGGTATGTGTCTGGGAGCTGTTAAAATGGTTTCTGTATATACTATTTGTATAGTTGCTCCTTTAGAAGAGAAGAAGAGCAAACGCCACTCTAGGTACCAGCGTTTATGAGTTTATGTGCCATATTGGGGTTTTGTTGCCAAAAGAAAGGTTATGATGGCAATCTAAACAGTTAAGGGAAAGTTTTGTGGGAAGCACCATAAGAAAAAGTAGTAGAGCTGTTGCCATCTATCGCTCACCGATACTGGAGCTTCAGGTCCTCAATCCCTTGTCCCACTCTGGAACGAGACAACGTTTGAAGTTTCAGCGGTGAATTCATATTTTGATGTTGACAAGATTTCGGATCCGTTCCAGAGCCCAATCGAAGAAAACGGTTAATGGTAGAGCCGTTACCTTGTGCTAAAAGTAAGAACTTTCACAATAAGGCGTTAGCAAGACCAAAAGCAGCAAGCGGAAATCAATGACTCAAATTGAAGCTCGAACGAGGCAACAGTTCATGTCACGCGAGTCAACCAAAAGATAAACACACACTACGGAAAAGTTTCGAAGTTTGAAGAGCATGTAATTTGATCTTGAATACGACGTTTTTTCAACCGGGCAAGATAGGTTGGGACCAGAGGTTTGTTAACAAACGATATGGTCTCTAAAGGACGCAGGGATGAGGACTATATTAGCCATCAACAAGGACGCGGCAAACTAGCCGATTGGCCTGCTGAAAACGCATCTGATGACGTGAAGCCACTTGATAAACAAATATCATATTATTTGTCTAGAATACACCGGAGAAAGCAGCGATATGTTGACTACACAACGGTCTCCGCGTCTCTTTTCGGCCGCCCCCGTCGTTTCTTTTGGACCTTGTCAGAGTCATTGAGGGAAGCCACCAAGTCCTTCCTCTTTCCTTTCATTGTTCCGTTGACACGCACGCCTTTGATGGTGATGCCCGTTTGCTCCACTGGAAATTTGCGGGGACGGCCCCTGCGGTCCTTCAGCTCGAGTAATTGCTTCATTTCTTGATCGTTCAAGGAGTCGAGATTGATGCCGTTCTCCATGGGCGAGTGAGCCTGCTTGACGGCGATGCCGGAGCTCTCCTTGAGGAGCTTGTTGAGTTTCTTGAAATTCGCATGGGACGAATCAATGTACTGGTTTGTGGTTGGGTCGAGGATGAGTTTCTTGGGTCTGCCGCGTTTCTTTTTCGAGCCGTTTTCGTCCGTGGCCGCGACCATTTTGGACAAGATGGCGATGGTCTGGTTTCCCAACTTCGGGGTGATGTCGAGTCCTAGCTGAGGCCCCGCGGGGTGCGATGCATGCTGCAAGTGGATACTGCCCGAGAGGTTCTGCGCAAGATGGCTGAGCAGGGAATGAGGTTGTACGTGGGAGGGGTGGACGGTGGGGTCGTGGAGCGTTCGGTGGTCTTGGGGGACTGTCCCTTGGAGCGAGGGGCTATGTGCGGCGGCGTTGGCCAAGCCTTGGCCGTGCTCGAAGTGGTTGTGCTGGGGCTGGTGTTGTGGCAGGTGGTGACGTTGGTGTTGGTGTTGGCGGTGGTGTTGGTGTTGGTGTTGATGGTTCTGATGGTTCTGATGGTTTTGATGTTGTTGGTGATGTTGGTGATGTTGATGTTGTTGGTGTTGCTGCTGTTGCTGTTGTTGTTGCTGTTGATTTTGTTGATGGTGTTCATCACTTTGCCGGTGGCGTTGCAGATCATGCAGCGACTGTAGATGCTGCAGCCGATGTAGCAGCGGTTGGGCTTGCGGCTGCTGGAGCAGATGCTCCTGCTGCTGCACCGGGCTCTGGTGGGACTGGAGATGGTGGAGGTGGCGAAGTTGCGGGTCTTGCACCAGGGTGTCGTCGGCATACGCAGCGGCCACGTCACGCCCACGGTCATGGTACATGTGGGCCGCGCCGGGGCTGTCTTGGAAAGCATGGCCGTGGAGGTCGGGGAAGTCGGCGGCATGCGGATCCTGCTGCTTGCCGAAATGCTTGAAGCTCTGCTGCTGGCTCAGAGGGCGCTGGCTCAGAAGGTGCTGGCCCAGAAGGTGCTGTTTCTGGAGGCGCTGTTTCTGGAGCTGGCTCTGCTGGAACTGCTGCTGCTGGAGCCGCTGCATATGTAGCTGCTGCTGCTGCAACAGGCCCGGCGGCGGGCTGTGCAGCGGGTACTGCAGCATGGCGAGCGGCGCGAGGGCCGCCAGGCCGCCGCTGGCGACGGGCTTGGGCGGCGTGCCCAGGCTCGGCCCCGGCAGGCCTGGGCCGAGGGCCGGCGGCGCGGCGTACATGGCGGGGAGCGGTTTTCTGTTTGTGTCAGGGCCGGCGCCAGGGGGCGTGTGGTCGAGGGCGGCCGGCGGCTGGCTGGGCGGGAAAGCAAAGGGCCCGTTCATGGGGAGCCGGATGGGGCAGGATCAGCGGCCTGGAGAAACGGGCGGCGCGGGCAGGCGGGACAGAGGGAGGGTCGGGCCGGGCCGGGCGGGGTGGGGCGGAAAGG